ACGGGTTTTCCCAAGTCTGTCCGTGACTGGAGAGAGACCAGAAATTCACTTAGGGCTTAAACCTACCCTGCCAGTATATAGGGTCCACCATACTGAAGGGCTGCATCCCCAGGGTCTGTTTGGGGGTAACAGGTAGGTGCCCTTGCTTTGGAGACCATCTCCATCCTGCCGCCCTGCCTGGTTACCCAGGGTAGCTCAGCTCCTGCAGCCTCGGAATCCTCAGTCTGTCAGTTGAGGGGATGGGGAGCCCCTTTGGGGTTGTAGCGCACCTCACCAGGGTGTCTGGCCCATGCAAGCACTTTGTGGAGCCTGCGGGCTAGTAGGCTGTCATTCATTCTGACTGGCAGGCAGACGCAGAGATGGCCCCTGGGGATCCTCTTCTGCTCTTGCTTCCCTTGAGAGCGGGCCTGCCTCGTGGCGGGTTCTAACCAACGACAGCAGAGGTAACGGAGGTCGCTTCTGTGATTAGGCTCCAGAAGATTGTGGCTTCCGTCTGGCTGGCAGACTCCCTCTCCTGCCAGCTATGGTGGCACAAGCTGCCACATTGGAGAGAGAGGCCCACGTGGCATAGAAGAGCCAGCACAGAGTGAAGCCCGCCCACCGCACAAGTGGGCTTAAAGGCAGATCCTTTCTCAGCGGAGCCTCTGCTAAAACCCAGCCCTGACCTGACACCTGGTTGCAGCCTCCTGCGATGAGCAGAGGGCCCAGGTAAGCCATGCCCACAGACGCTGAGATAATGGGCGTTGTCTTAAGCCACTGAGTTTGTGGTCATTTGGTAGGCAGCTATTACTGCCCAGCAATGCTGGTAAAGGTACACGGCAGCCACTTGCAGACTTACTGAACAACATGAGTTCTGCTCGTTTCCCCTCGCTTGGTGCCCCGTCCATTAGCTGTGCCTTTCATTCCCTTTTCTTCCAGAGGGTGCAATTGGGGTGCCTGTTAGTGCTGAGCCGTCATTTTTGCTCTGAGGAGACTGGCCCACTCAGCCAGTCTGCACAGTGAGGCTCTCTCACTGTGCCTGGTTTGTTGTCTTGCCTACTTCTTAAGATGGGTCAGAGCAATGAACTGGGAGCCACGGATTCCATTCCTTCAGTTGGCAGGAGCCAGGCCAGACCTGCCGGGAGGTTGGCTCAGGATTTGGCTGCAGTGTGTGTGAAGTTGGAATGAAGGGGTTAAAAATGTGTGTCTCAAAGCGAAGCTCAGGGCTGGCCTGCCGCTGAATTGCCTTGGTCAAGTTAGTGACCTTGGGCAGGGCAAGTTACCCTCTGCTGGCTTCTGTGTTCCCAACTGCAAAATGATGGCCATTTCTCCTTCCCTCATCTGAAGCGCTGTGGTGGTTAAGTAGGAGCTCATAGCGGGATTTATAATCATAAAGTGCTACAGTAATACTAGCGTGGGAACCAGCCGAGTCTTTGAGCTGGACGAGACCACCAAAGCTGGTGTTCGTGGGGTGGGTACATCGTCAGACACCAGCCAGAGAGGCGTGGGGTGGGCACAGGGACCACGATGGTGACCCGAGAGCCGCACTGCCTGGCCCCCAAATCCCAGCTCTGTTAGCAGTCATTTCGTCTTTGTCACTGCCTCAGTGACCCCTCCATAAAACGGAAGTAATAGGATCAAGCTCATGGACTGGTTTTTGAAGATTAAGTGGATTTAGATACGTGAAGTATTTAAAACAGTGACAGTGCCAGTTCACACTAGCCAAAAGGTGGGAACGATCCAAATGTGCATGATAGATGAATGGGCACGTGGAACACGCCCCGTGCATGCACTGGAATAGTACTCAGCCTTAAGAAGGAAGGACGTCCTGATGCCTGCTACAGCATGGATGGGCCTTGGGGGCACGGTGCTCAGTGACATCAGCCCGACACAGAAGGACAGATCCTGTCTGGTCCCCCTCCTAGAAAGTTCCTAGAGGAGCTGCATCCACAGACAGAAAGCGGGTGGTGGGGCCGGGGGCTGAGGGAGGGGAGGGGAGTGAGTGTTTCACGGGGACAGTTACAGTTTGGGGAGATGGAAAGTTCTGGAGATGGAGGGTGAGCACGGCTGCACCACCTGTAAACGTGCTTCATGCCGTGAGCTGTGCTCTTAGAAGTGGCTAAGGTGTGACTGGGTGGCATGTGTGCTTCACCACACAGACAGAGCAGGTGTTAAGAGTACTGTGTCTTGATTCACAAGCCCTTTCAACCACACCTGAGTTAGTGCCAATGGGCAACTCGGAGGATGGGGCCGGTGGGCAGGGGGTTGGAGGAATGGAACTTCAAACCACAGCCCTGACCTCCTCTGGGGACAGCAGGGGGGCTGGGGGTTGAGCTGATCACCAGCATCCAGTGGTTTAATCAATCAGCCTACCTGTGGACGCCTCCTTAAAAATCTACAACAAAAGTGGTTCGGAGAGCTGCTGGCTGGTGAGCATGTGGGCCGGGGGCAGTGGGGGCATGGAAGTTCTGCCCCCGCCCTGCGCCTTGCCTGGCGCCTCCTCCATCTGTCTGCCCCTGAGTTGCATCTTTTACAATAAATGGGTAGTAGAGATTTCCTGTGTTCTGTGAGCTTTTTTAGCCAATTATTGAACGTGAGTGGGGGAACCCTGATTTACAGCTGGTTGCTAGAAGCATGGAGGCTCAGACTTGGGATTGGAGTCTGAAGTGGGGGAGCCCTTGGGGCCGAGCTGACCCTGTGGGGTCTGCCCTGACCTCGGGCAGATGGTGTCGGAGTTGCTGAGTGTTAGGGGGACCCCACGCATGGAGTCTTGAGTGTTGTAAGTCGTGAATTGAAAGTTCTTTCATATTCCAAGTCAACTGCAGTGTGACTCTGGGCTCAGTTGGTAGAAGGACAACTTGGGGACACATACAAGGTGCTGTTGTAGGACAAAGTGTGTCCCCCAGAAAGAGATGTTCTGGTCCTAAACCCTGGAACCTGGGAATGAGACCTTATTTGGAAACAAGGTCTTTGAGGTGTGATGAGTTGAGATGAAGTCAGACTGTATTAGGGTAGCCCTATTCCCGTGACAGGTGGCCTTGTAAGAAGGCCATGTGAAGACACAGGCATGCAGGGGAGGGCAGTCACGTGGCCACAGAGGCAGAGGTTGGAGGGACGTGGCCGTGAGCCATGGCTTGCTGGTCACCAGTAGAAGCGGGGAGTGCGGCCCTGCCACTCCTCTGCTGCGGACTCTGTCCTCCACACTGGGGAGAAGATAGATTTCTTTCATTTTAAACCACCAAGTTTAGTGTTCATTTGTCATGTACCCCAGGGAGATATTACAGGGGCGGAGGTTGAAACAGAATGGGTGTCCACCGCTGGGTGCCCGGCGCAGCGCACGGGAAGCACTTCCCCACCCGCCTTGGTGGTGGTTTCTGCAGTTGGTCTGCCCCTGGCCGTTTCTAGCCGTTGGCCCCCTCAGGCCCGAATGGGTCACCTGTGTGGGTGCAGGGTGGCCCCGGACCATGTCCCCGTCTCACACCTCGTTAGACAGGCGGGTTCCCGGCTTCAGGAGGAGGCTTGGCAGGCAGCAGATGGTCCTGCTGGGAAGTTCCCTGTATGGGTAGAATGCCGCTTGGCCATGCCAGGGGTCAGCAGAGAAGAGGGTCAGGAAGGGCAGGTACCAAGGGTGGGGGAGAAGAGGGGCATCTAGGGCCCCACTTGAGGGGGGTTGACTCAAGGACCCACCGGGCAGGGGCCCCCGCCTCACCCAGTGACGTCCGACCGCGTGCCTCCTGGCGGGTGTGCATGATGCTTCGATCGGGCAGATTTGTTGTGTGGAGTCCCCCTTTGGAAGGCGGGGGTGGGGGCAGCGTGGTGCAGTGGCAGGACACACCCTGCAGGGCCAGGCAGATGGGTTTGGGTCCCATCCCGGCCCTGCCTCCCACTTGGGTGTCTGGAAGGCCCCCCTCCCTTACTGATCCCCGGTTTCGGACTCTGTCGGTTGCTTGAATGCTGAAGGTGAGCAAGCACCGCTGTGGGGGCCTCCCAGGGAGCCCTCGGGGACCTCGGCCAGGCTGAGTTTCTTGGATGGGCGGAGCTCCGGGCAGCCGTGCCCCGACCTGGAAACAAGAGCCCAGGGGACAGAAATGCTGGTTGTGGCTAGGCTGTGATCTGTGGGCCACTGAGCCAGTGGCTTGTGTTTTCATCAAATCTGTCACCACGGGTAGGGCGGGAGCCCCCTGTGGGATAAGGGGTGGCCAAGTGCATCATGATACCTGACACCGCACATGAGCGGACAGCTGCTTATGAGTCACAGACTCACAGTCGGGGTGGGGGCTGCAGTGGGGAGGACACCACGGGGCCTGCAGGGCCGCTTGGGGACCTACTTGAGAACAGGCTAGGCTTTGTCATGGAGGGAGGAGTAGGGGGCCCTGGTTCCTGCGGGGAGATGTCATTGGTTGGTTGGAGTGACACTGCAGCTGGCAGGAAAGGACCTGTTGCTTGGGGATCAGTAGGAGCCCTGCCTGTTCCCTGGATCGGGAGGGCTGTCGGGCTAGTTGACCTCATCCGTGGGGGGCACAGTGGGGGTGCTACTCAGGGCCTCCCGGTTCTAGCCACACACATGATTGAGTCCAATTTTAGGCCTTATGCCACAGCTCGCATTGAGTCACACCATCTGCAGGATGAGTCGACAGTCCTGGCTTTGCATGCAGCCCGATGGGCTCCTGGTTCTTGGTGAACACAGCCACGTCTCTCTCGGTGTTTTGCCCTCCCTTAGGACAGTGGTCGCATCTGCCTCCTAGGGTGGCAGTGAAGGTGGAAGGAAAGGGTGTGTTGGGGTCCAGCACCCCATCAGGTGGCCAGGCATGAGTCCTGTAAATTTTGGGGTCTCGGGGGCAGGATTCACCACACCGCTGGGTCTCGTGGAGCGCTGCCTGCCTCTTGTAGGTCAGAGGGCAGTGTGCGTGCCTGCCGCCCTGGCCCGGAGGCCGTGAGCCAGTGCTGGGAGAAGGGCTGGGGCCAGGGAGCCCTCAGCTGCTGTGCGCGTGACCATACTCGGGCAAGAAGCTGCACCTCTATTAATATCTGGGGTGCAGGGCGGGTTCGGCGGCTCCTATAAAGCCAGCCTTGCCAGCCCCAAGCGGCTCCTTCAGCCCCTGAGACCTTTAGCCCCCCTGTTGTGAGAGAAAAAGAAAAGTAAGTACCAAAATCGTCCCCTGTCCCTCCTCCCAGCCCGCTCAGCGGCCTGGACAGTGAGACACAGAACAGTGGTGAAATGACATACCCCGTGCAAAGGACGTCAGAGACACAGCCCTGGTGGCACTTAACTGTCCTAGGCGGTTTGGGGACCCATCCCAGGGGATGGAGGGCTGTGAGGAGGAGGAGGGGCTGGGCCTTCTCATCTGTGATTGTCCTTGTCCTAGAGGGGATGGAGCTGGGGACCCCCTTCCCGGCCAGGAGAGCACAGAATGCATGTGTCATGGTGAAGTGGCCATAGTGCTGCCTCCCCTCCGGGAGTGGACTGGGATCGAGATCAGGGCGCCCTTCCTACCCACTTCCCCAGGCTCCCAGGTGTCGGTTTCGAAAGTCCCTTCATGGGAAGACTTCCAGGCCAGCCCGGAACGGGCCCACTGGGTCTCCGGATGCCTCTGCTCTGGGAGCCGCCCGCTGGCTCTGGCACCCTCTCCCCTCCCCGAGACCAGTGGTGTCATGATCTTGTTGAACTACGGAGAAGCTTAAAGGGAGTGGGGAGGTGATGAGGCCAGTTTAAGGAGGGTGCCCCAGGCCCCCTCAGAATGCACTGGGTGGATCTGGGGGGCTCCTGGGTGGCAGCGGAAGGCAAGTGGCAGTGTGAGGCCTTCAGGTGCCCTGTCGTGCCTGTCAGTTTGCTCCTCCCCCAGGTCCCAGCCAGGGTCTCCCCCCCCCACCCATTGGCCCTGAGGACGTCCCCTCAGGGGCCTGGTGGCTGGAAGGACAGGGCACAAGAGGTAGGGGCAGACATTGGATGAGACTGCTCTGGGATGTGGGTGGGGGTGGAGGTGGGGGTGCCGGCAGAGTAACTGCTGATTAAGAGGGCGGCTGAGTGCTACTTGATGTGCGTGGCAAGTGCTTGGGGTGGGGGGAGGGTGGCCCTAAAATAGAGCGGGGAAAGGGGGGGTGGGGAGCCACCCTGCAGCCTTGTCCCCCACCTCCAGGACCTCTGCCTCCATTGGTGGTGGCGGCAACGGCATAGATTTCCGGCTCTCTCCTCCCTTGGCCATCAGGGCATTCGGGACAGCACCCAAGGCCAGGGGGCTTGGGGGACTAGGGGCTCCTGAAACGGGGCTTTGCAGAGAAGAACACCTGTCCCATTGCCTGTCTGGTGGGCGGGAATAGGGTCGGTCTCCCCAGGAGGGAGGGGACTTCAGATTGGCTTCCTGCCTGGAGAAGCTGCAACCAGGTGGGGTGCAGCCCAGTGGGGTCCTGCCCACCCCTACGGCCCCCAGCATCCCTCCACTCCCTGGCACCCCAGAGTCCTGCAGGGGACAAGGAAGGGGAGCCGTGGGCAGACCTCCCCCCCCCAAGTTCCTCAGGGCGCAGGGTGACTTGGCCTGGGAGGGTGTCAGCCACGGGACTGCGGGCACGTGGGCGTGTGTGTCGGGGTCTGTACCCATCCTGGGCTCTCAGCCCCTCCCAAGGCTTTCTTTGCACAGTGTGGGGACGGGGCAGGGTTTGAGCCCGTTCTCTGCCCTCAGGTCCAGGTTGGCACTGTGATTTGGGGACTGGGTCGCTCTCGGGTGAGCTGTCCTAGGCACGGTCGGGGGTTGAGCTCCCAACCACTTGGTGCCAGGAGCACCCGCAGTTGTTAACGACCACTGATGTCCCCGATGCCGCCACATGTCCTTTGAGGGGCAGAATCACTGGCTGAGAACTGCTGACCTCAATTCTTGGCCTTGAAGGTTTGGGAAGGTGGGATGCTTAGTGCTGGGTGTCCCGGGATGATTTTAGCTGAGGTGGGAAGTGTTCTAAGTGTTAGTAGTTATGTGCTTTGTTCTAATGCGCATCAAGAAATTTAGGTTCCAATTGACACCAACACCATGACTCTTTAAATGAGTTTATAAAGTCAATAAAATCAGTGATAGTCGTAAAGAAAACTAATAAATGCGTGAGTAATTATAAGGTGTTTTGTAGCCCTGGCCCTGTCGTGAGGGCAAGAGAGAAGGGTTGGCTTCAGAAAGGACCCCAGAGGGCCCTCAGGGGGCTTCCAGGAAACCAGAGGCAGCGGGGCCAGCAGGAGCTCCAGAGGAGAGGTACCCAGGGGTGGCTGGGCCCTGCCGTCAACCCTGGCACAAGACAGTAGACGCTGGCTTCCCACGCTCATCAACCTGGTCTAGAACCCGCTCTCCACCTTTTTGTGGGTGGCCTTGAGCAAGGGGCTCTGCCACCCGAGCCTCAAGTTTCCTCATCTGCGAGAGAGAAATAAATGGTACTCATCACACAGAGTGGTGGAGCAAATTCCAAGTGCCCGTAAACACAGACAGGTGTGCAGCACGGGTAGGTGCCCAGCCCGTGCTGGCGGGGCAGCCAGGGAGGGCAGGTGTCGGGCTTATCTTCACGGTGAGTGGCACTACCAACCTCCAAATGGCAGCAGTGAGCATCCGAAGCACACATTTTTTTATTTTTTTATTGTGGTAAATAATGCATAACATAAAATTACCTAAGAGCACAGCTCACAGCACGAGGCACATTCACACGTCATGCAGCCGACCCCACCATCCAGTTCCAGAGCTTTCCATCTTCCCAGACTGGAGCTCTGTCCCCATGAAGCACTCACTCCCCACCCCTTCCCCCAGCCCCCGGCCCCACCACTCACTTTCTGTCTCTGTGGATGGGGCTTCCCTAGGGACTTCCTAGGAGTGGGATCAGACAGGGTCTGTCCTTCTGTGTCGGGCTTATGTCCCTGAGCTCAGTGTCCCCGAGTCCATGCACATTGTAGCAGGTGTCAGACTGTCCTTTTTAAGGCTGAGTACTATTCCGGTGTGTGGATGGACCATCTGTGCGTCTGTCAATGGACATGGGTTGTTTCTATTTCATGGCTCCTGTGAATAATACTGCTGTGAACATGAGTGTTCAAATACCTGAAAACCTGGCTTTTAATGCTTTTGGGTATATGCCTGGAAGTGGGATTGTTGGATCATTTAATAACTGCATATAACTTTTTGAGAAATTGCCAGGCTGTCTTGCACAGTGGCTGCCCCATTCTCTCATCCCACCAGGTTCCGATTTCTCCACATCCACTTGTTTTCTTCTGCTTTTCTGAACTGGTCACCCGATTGCTACTGTCCTCATCATGCCCAGGGCGACTGGGTGGGGAGGCGGGCTCTGGCTTCCTTTCCCCCAGGCCACCCCTCCCGTCGCCCTGTCCCACTCTGGGCTCTTTCAGGCCTGCCGACCAGCAGATCGGCTTTGCCGTGCTCCGTGCCTGTGGCAAAGGGCAGGCCTTGGCAGGCCCACCAGGTGCTTCCTCCTGGTCCTGCACCAGCGCCCACCTGCCCTCCAGGACACAGCGACTTCGGTCATAGCCGGTCCCACGAGGCTGCCTCCCCCTGCGGCCCTCCACTCCAGACTTTCTATACACCACACGGACAGAAAGTAAATTTCTTTGGCTTTGCAGCCTGCAGCCCCTCTGTGGCAGCCCCCCAGCTCTGCTGTTGCCCCTTGAAAGCAGCCACTGGGAACACATTACCGGGTGGGCATGCCTGTCGGCAGTGCAAATTCTAGACACTGAAATTTGAATTTTACATGATTGGCACTTGTCACAAAATTTAATTCTTATTATTTTTTCCCCCTGACCATTTAAAAATGTGCAACCATTCTTAGCCCCAGGTACAAAAACCATGTACAAAAATAGGCAGTGGGCCAAGTTTGGTCGTAGGTGGCTGACTCATGCACCACACACCCCAGAAATGCTTGTTGAATGCACTGACATTCTTGCCCCATTAAAATGTGTGCCCAGTTTCCTAGCATGACAGTAATATGCTGTTAATGAGTGTATGGGCATCAGTGCATTTTTTATTAAAGTCACAAATGTTGAAAATGCCAGTGAATAAAATAAAAGTAAGGTATTTTTTTTTTTCACTTAAAGTCCAAGAGGATTTTTTTAAAACAGCTTTATAGGAAGCGATTCAACATACCATACAATTTTTCCATTTAACATGAACATTTCGATTTTTTTAAAAATATATTTGAAGGGTGGTACAACCATCAACTACAACCAGTTTTAGAGTATATTATCCCCCCAAAAGCCCCATCCCCATGAAGTCAGTCCCCCCTCCCAACTGCCAACCCCCAGCCCCGGGCGCCCACTAACCCACTTCCTGTCTCTGGATTTGCAGGTCTGGTTCCCCCTGAGGCCTCTCCTTGGTGTACAGTTGGGCATCTTCTGTGTCCTCACATGGTCGTCTCTCTGTGCGGGCGTCCCTGTGGCCCTCTGCGAGTCCAGATCTCCTCTTCTGCGGACACCACGTTGGGTCAAGTCGGATCAGGGCCCACCCTCACAGCCCCATCTTAATCACCTCCAATGTGGTCACATTCCGAGGTCCTGAGGGTCGGGGCTTCAACATACGCGTGGGAGGACGCTGTTTGGCTCAGCATCATCTTCTGTTTTTTGTGTTTTGGCCTCCTTCGATGGGGACCTAAGGCCCCGTGAGGCCTTTGTTGATGTAAGTGCCAGAGTGGCCCCGGCAGCAGGCGGGGTCCTCCCAGCCCCCCTGCCCTCTGTCTGCCCTCGGCTTAGTGCCCGTTCCTTTGTGTCTTGCTTTGTGCCGGGTCTTAAAGCCACAGGAGCAAAGCAGGGCAGTAGAGGTTGCTATGGCCGTTGATCTCTGTGCGCCGGAAGGCTGTGTTTAGAAGGGGCGGCAGCCAAGTGCACCAGCATGTCGGGGAGGCCCCGGGCTGGGGCATCAGTACTGAGCAGTTTCCCAGGGGACCAGGACCTCAAACGTGGGGTGGGCCAGAGTTTGTGGGGCCTTTGCTCAGAGTGGCCCCTTCTGTGACGAAGGGCAGGGAGCCTTTCGGCACCGAGACTGGGCTGCATGGACCCCACTCAGCAGGAAGGTTGGAGGGCAGTGGGGCTGCAGGGTGGGTGAGGGGCAGGCCTCTGGGCACCCCTGCTCCTCACCTTTCAGTCCTTTCCTCGCTGACTGGAAATATAGCAGGAAAGCCTGTCGGGCCCCTCACCACACCTGTGGCCCTACGTGTCCCCTTCAAATGCTAGCCTGTGGCCGGAGGTCCTTCCCCGAATCCTGCCAGCATGTAGGCCTGATCCTTCTTGAGGTGAAATTCATGTAACACAAAGCTAACCTTTTTCAGTGAACAATTCAGTGGCATTTGGTGCATTCACAATGTTGTGCAACCACCACCTCTGTCTAATTCTAGAACGTTCCATTGCCTCCAAAAAGAAGCCCTGTCTCCTGTGAGCAGTCACTCCCCAGCCCCTGGCAACCAGGAATCCACTTTCTGTGTGTGGATTTGCCCGTTTTGGACATGTCACAGGAAAGGGGTCACACAGCATGTAGGCTGTTGCGTCTGGCGTCTCTCACTGAGCACCCTGCGTTCAGGGTCAGTCCTTGGTGAGGCGTGTGTCAGGGTGTCGCTCCTTTCCGTGGCCCACTAATATTCCCATGTAGGCCAGACCACGTTTTGTTTATCCGTCCATCTGATGGACATTTAGGTTGTTTCCACCTTTGGCTATTGTGACGTAATGCTGCCATGAACATAACATGTACAGGTTTTTGTTTGAATAGCTCTTTTCAATTTTGGGAGTATATTCCTAGGAGTGGACTTGCTGGGTGATACGGTAATTGATTCTTTTCTTTTTTTCCCCTGTAATTTCCAAATGTTCACGGGCTTTTGTTGAAACCGTCTGGACTGCTGGACTTCCCTGCCCTTCTGGGTGGAGTGGGGTGAGCTGCTGTGGCTCCACAGCACGCCATGGGGCCTCCCCCTCAGGCCAGGGGCACCCTGTCCTTTCTCTCGTAACCCAGAGCCTCTGGTGTCCACTAGATCTTCTGAACTCCTCTGGACAAAGAGAATAGGGTGTAGGGAGACCAGAGTTCAAAGTCGAGCCCCTTGCAGCCACTGACCATCCCTGAGCCTCAGTCTCCCTGTCTGTGAAATGGGTGTAAATGACAGTCTTCCACAGGTTTTGTGGGGGTCTCAGGGAGACCTGGCTCCTGCTTTATGAAAGTTTCCCAGTCACCTTACAAATGAAGTAGGTATTATCTCCAATCACAGAGAAGATGCCGGGGTGGTGGGTGCAGTGAGGGCTGTGCTCATCTGAGAGCCAGGGGCCCGTTCAGGCCTGGCTGACTTTCTTTTTTTTTGTTTTATTATTATTATTATTATTTAATTTTTTATTAAGGTATGATTTTGACTTCCTCACACCCTCCAGCTCTTTTTTCAAGTGTCACCTTCTCAGGGAGGCCTTCCCTTAGCACCAAATTAAACTCAAGCCCCCACCGCCACACACACACACCACTGTATCTCCCTTTCCTGCTTTCTTTTTCTTCAGACCCGGTATGACATACTGAATATTTGACTTATTTATTTTGTTTAAAAGGTTACCTCCATAAGGACAGAGATATTATCCATATTATGTACAACTGTATCTGCAGTGCCAGCTACTGGACCCAGTACACAGCAGGGACTCAACAAGTATTTATTGAAGGAGTGAATCATCAGGGGAGTGAAATGGTCAAATTTCGTTCTGAACCCCTAAGTCACTTAGGGTGCCCTGTGACACATGAACTGGGGGGACTAAGACTGGCAAACAGGGGCTAGTCGGTGGCTAAGGCTGGGATAGTGGAGAAAAGAGTTATGTCATTTTTAAAAAAATAAACTTTATTTAATTTTTTATTAAGGTATGATTGATATACACTCTTATGAAGGTTTCACATGAAAAAAACAATGTGGTTACTACATTCACCCATATTATCAAGTCCCCACCCAGACCCCAACGCAGTCCCTGTCCCTCAGTGCAGCAAGATGGCCCAGCTGACTCCCCAGCCCCCACTGTGGGCCATGCTGCGCTGCGTTCAAAGCTCGAAGGAAATGTCCCCTCTGAGGACACGGGAGGCGCAAGGACCCCGAGCAGCCCCGGGGCCACCTCAGCATAGGTTCAACAGGCGAGACTAACTGCCTGGGGTTCTCAGGGATGCCCCCGAAGCCGCCAGGGAGCCAGGGAGAGGGGCAGGAGGGTGCCTCGGTGCCTCAGACACAGCACACTAGAGCCCCGCCGTTAAAAAAACAGACCAGATTTAATACTTAAGCCGCTGTGAGGTTACAGAGGCATCTCGAGGTGGGATCCTGGGGCCTCGATATGCTGAGCTGGGAGTGGGGCCTCAGGTACGGACTCCCTCAAGGGAAGCGGTCACATGTGATCCAGCCGGAAAGCCACAGCTCAGCTGTACCGTGGCTACAATCCTGTGTGGCTCCCTGGGCGGGGCCCCTTCTCCCCCAGCCATGCCTAGGAGTGGTTCAGAAGGGAGTTCTGAATATCTTCCAGAACTTGGTGGAAGAGCTCCTCGCGGGACTTCATGCCGTCCAGGTACACTGCAATCAGAAAGGCCATGGTCAGGGAGCCTGGGGCCGCCACCAGGAGGCAGGCGGCCGGCTCACAGGGACGTGGGCACACTGCTGGGTCAGGAGGGGGCTGACCTGCAGAGCCAGAGTCCAGCTGACCTGGACTAAGATGGCCCCCAGGGCCGAAGCACGAGGGACTGTCAGGGTGACTGGAGGAGGGACTTCCAGGTCTCCCTAGTGGTCCTGGAGGGGACGGGCTGGGTTCAGCCTCCCCCCAGGGCCAGGCCTCATCCCACCCAGGGGCTTACCCACTTCCACGCCATTGGCCTCCATCTCCCGCTTATACTTCTGGTACATGGGCCACACGTGGCCGTCAAAGAGGCCCGGGGGATCGGGGACCGGGTAGCTTCGAGTGCTGGGGGGAGATGGGCGATGATGAGCGACACCCAAGCTCCCCAGGGCGGTGCCACAAGCAGGGCTCGGGGCTGCGAACTAGGTCAGGGATGTCACCACTGAGGAACAGGAGGCCCCGTGGAGTCACAGGCTCCACGCTGGGCTCTGGTGCCCCGGCTTCCAGCATTTTCACCCTGTGGGCCCAGAGGATGCCCAGGGCAGGGCCTGGGTGGGCCCCATTCTCCAGAGCCCGGGCTGTGGGCCTCTGGGAGCTAAGTGCCTGCAGCTTCAGGGCGGCCATATGTCCAGTGAGCATTATGGGGTTCCCGGGCCCTGCCTGGGATGCAGGCAGGGCCCTGGGGCCCCAGCCCGCCTCTAGCCTCACCTCCTCCTCCACTTGCACTCTCCATACGGGATGGCCAGGAAGTACCGTCGGCTATACAAGTCCACCAGGGGCCTGGCAAGGGTGGGCACATGGTCAGCACACACGCACTTTCCCTCACCGGGGTCGGGGTACACAGCTGCACAGCCTCGGCCTCCCGGGACTTCCCTAGGTGTTGAGGGCTGGGGACGTCTGGGCCAGCTGGTGTAGGGGTCAGGGAGGGCACCCGCATAAACCAGTCTCCTGTTACGCCCAAGGACATCCCCGCAGCAGCCCCCCCACTTGGGCAGACCCCGAGAGAGATGCTGTCATGCCCAGGGTCACACGGTGAGGTTGGGGGTGCAGCCCAGCCCCCTGCTCTGCCTTAGGAGGGCTGAGGTTCCAGAAGGATGACTCAGGTTCCCTAAGAAACGGGGTGTTAGCCCCAGACACTTGAGCTGAGCCTGGCTCGGCCCCTGGGCCTCGGCCTCCTGTCTTCTGAACAGAGGCTAAGCCAACAGGCCGCTGGGGGCATCGGGATTGTCTGGGGCTTGGGCCGCAGGTGCTCACGGGTAGCTGTAGAGCAGGAATCCCTCCAGAATGAGGATGTAGGTGTCCGAGGCGTCCAGCTGGACGCTGTGGGCGCGGGTGAACTTCTGGGGGCTGCCCAGCCAGGCCTGCACAGTGCTCAGCATGGTCCCCATGTCCAGGGACTCCAGCACTGGGGGCAGGAGAGCAGGTGTGGGTGGGGCCGGGGGAGGGGGACCACACAGGCGGGGGGGCTGGGCTGCCATCTGGCCTTACCGTCCCACTGTTTGAAGCCGTCCTCCCCAACTGCTATTTGATCTTGGGGCTGAAACAGAGGACCCCAAGCCACGGGCTCAGTGCCGCCTTCCCACCTCATCCCCACCCTGGCATGACGCACCCTTGGTGGGCACCTCGGTGCCCGGAGAGGCCCCAGTGAGGGGCCTGGGGCCTGTGGGTGGAGCTGCGGGCCCTGCCGCCCTGCAGCTGATGCTTACCGGCTCCCAGGTCCCAGCGGGGTAGGAGTTCCAGGCTGGCTGTCAGACACCCACGCCCACCCCCTGCACCCTGACTCTTGGAACCCACAGGGGAGGGGACTTTGCATCCATCATCTCATTGTCCCTCACCCTCCGCAAAAACATCAAGGGTGGGCTCAGAGCCCATTTTGCAGATGGGAAAGTGGAAGTATTTCCCAGAAGGCCACAGCAGCCCGGGTGGCACAGCCCCTCTGGGAACCACAGTTTCCCCATCTGTCCAGTGGGGAGTGGGTGTCCAGGTGAGAACACCTGTCTCTCGCTCTCCTGGCCCGTGTTAGCCCAGGCCACGTGGGCAGTGGGCAGTGGAGGTCCCCTTCTCGGGGGGCCGCCTCCCTCAACCCCAGACAAGGGAGCCACCTTGAAAAAGTCATCCTGGTGGATGGCGCAGCAGTTGGGCAGCGCTTTGAGCAGGCTGTTGGTCAGCGTGGTCTTGCCGCCGTTGGTCACACTGTGGAGAGAGCACAGCAGGAGGCTGCCGGGTCCCCCCTCTGGGTCTGCGCAGGTCTGAGGGGACCCCAGAATCAGACTCCAATATAAAACACAGAACTGTAAAATCATAGAGCGAAGATGACATTTGTATTCATCTAGAGTCAGAGGAGGCTTTCTAAGCAGAAAAAAGGGGCAGAAAGTCTTAAAACCAAAAAATAGCTAACATACAGTCTTAGCTCACGCCAGAGGCATCTTAAATGCTGTTTTACATGTGTAGACTTTTTTCAGTGTCATTGCAAACCCAGGAAGTGGGGCCATGAGCTTATTTTTACAGACAAGGAAACTGAGGCACAAGGATGGTTTAGTCTCCGTGGCATTTAAGGAAAAAAAAAAAAAGCCAAAATATTGAAACAAGTACAAACTGGTGGGGAAAAAAATTGCCATGGGAAGACCAGCAGTTTACTGCAAACCTGACTGAGGCAGTTAACTCAGCAGTCAATTTACTGCCTTGTTCGAAACCAAGAAAAGGCAGAAAAAAAGGGAGTGGGGCCGGGGGTGGGGGTGGGAATGCAATTGGCCAAGTCGGGTGACAGGCTTGCTCTGGGGCCTCTCTGTTTCTATGCTGAAAGTCCCAAATCCCAGGGACACCTCAGTCCCAGGGAAACCAGGGTGATGGTCACCTCGTGGCAAAGAGACTGAGGACCGAGAAGAGTAACTCAGCTTTCCTGGGAATGAGTGTCCTTTTCACTCCATTGTCCCTGTCCTCAGTGTCAGGGGCTGCGGGGGTGGGACAGGGGACACGCTGCAGCCATTTAAAAGGGCTGATGAGGAGGGGGCCTCCATATATTGTGGGGGAAGCAGGTTAGAACAGACCTGACTTTAATTTGGGTTGTTACTAAAAGGCACATTTTGCACTCAGGGCCCAGCACAAAGTGAAATGTGCGGACCCTTATTCAAATATATGAGGAATTTCAAGAGGATGATGGAGTATTATGCCAATGGGATGCCTGAGCCAACCCTGCTTAAGCCAAGTGGCTTGCGAGCATCTTCTTGAAAGGCCTCCTAATTGGTAATTACATGGAGAGTTTGAATCCTCCAGGCAGGCCAGGCCCCTGCCTGAGGTCACACAGATGTGGCTTCCAAGGCAGGTGCCACAGTCATGCTGAATGGCACTGTGAGGGCCCCTGTGCCACCTGCACATGTGTCTGCCCTGGGTGGGGCGGAGGGGTGGGCTAGGACTGGCCCCAGTGCCTTAGGAGGGTCTGCCTGAGCTTTTATAGTCTTCTGTCCCCACTGATTCCGGATTGTACACTGAGTACAGTGAGGAAAAATTATTTCCATTTGGAAATTTAGAATTGGACCCCTCACCCACTCCATTCGCCTCCCCGGGGGTGCCAAGCTCCCAAGGGCCGAGATCCCCTCCCCACAGTTAGAACTTGGGCAGTGGGCCCTGTGACTCCATGCCCCCGGCAGCCCCCCGTTCATCCCAGCCTCCCCACACTCTCACCCTCCGATGCCCACGATGTACTTCATGTTGGCGAGGAGGGGCGGCGGGGACTGCGCTTGGCTGGCCAACTCCCAGGCTCCTGGCCGGGCCCGACCCCGCAGTGCGCTCCCGCGTCCCAGCTTCATTGAAAAAACCCCTCACCTTTATAGGTCCGCAGCCTGGAGGCCGCCCTGGGGGAGGCCGCCTGCGGCCTCTGCGGAGAGCAGCCCACGAGGTCGGGGCGCAGGGGTTGCCAGCACCTGTTCCCCCCGATGGAAATAGCTCCTCACTGTCTTTTGCCTAAATTAGTCACAGCGCGGCAGGGGGCGGGGAGGGGACGGGTGGATGTCATCGGGCTGCCCCGCCCCTCCCCTCCCCTCCCTCCCCCTCCCGCTCCCCCCTCCCTCTCCTAGCCAGAGATAACCCGCCACACATCTTCCCTAAAAATATACCATCCAGTGTGTCCCCTGGCCTGACCCTGACATTAAGGCTGGCAGGTGGCACCGACGAAAGGGAACGCAGGCCTCCCCCAACTTGGCTCCAGCACTGCGGCAGGCCGGCCCCAGAGCGCCCCGGCCCCTTGCCTTTCCGGGACTTCCCTTTCTAAGGGGGTTGCAGCCAAGATGGGCTTAAGGTCCAGAGTGGTCAGTGCCAAGATAGCTTCACTCCCGTAACCCAGTCGCCAGAAAACCTCAGGGTGACTCCACCGACTCATCGCTCATCCAGGGCCCGGGTGAGGCCTGGAGTCACCGGTTTGGGTCAGGTCTCTCAGCAGCCTGGGCAGATCTGGGGGGAGCTTGACCCTGCTGACAGCCTGCTGTGGTGCAGCTGGAAGCCAGGGCCTGCACGTGCCAGGGTCCGAATGGCTTGGAGTGCGTGAGTACGTGCCGCCCCTGCAGACGAAACCTTTGGTTTCAGGACTCCATGTCTCTCGCTCGTACAAAGGACTTAAGACCCCAAGGAGTTCTTTGTTTAAATGGATTATAGTGTCTAGATAGTATTTACTACATTATAAGTTAAAGCTGAGAAAAATTTAAAGCATTTTAACATTTAAAAATATTAACCACTACATGGTAACTATTTTTGTGAAAAAAAAAATAGTGGTGTTTTTTTTCAAATAAAAAATGTAGGGAGTGAGCCTGATAAAAATGGAAAACTTTTGTGCAGCCAACAACATGAAAAGACTAACCACAGAACAGGAGAAACTATTTGCAAGTCATGTATCCAATAAAGGTTTAGTATCCAGAACATATAAAGAACCCTTGCAAGTCAACAACACAAAGACAAACGGCCCAGTGTGGAGCCGGTGCGGGGTTTGAATAGACATTTCTCCGGAGAAGGGGGCCAGCGAAGCCTGTGAAAAGATGCTCATCATTACCGATCAGCAGGGGAATGTGGATCACAAGCACAGCGGGAAAGCTCTTATGCACTCGTATGGCTGTGATAAGAAGGACACTGACAGCGTCCGAGGAGGACCAGGAGACATGGAAACCCGTGTATTTTTGCTGCTGGGGACGGAAAGTGGTGCAGCTGCTCTCGGACACAGTGTAGAGATTTCTCGAAAAGTTAAACACAGGATTGCCATGTGACCCACAGTTGCCCGAGAGAATTGAAAACATCCCACAGAAGCTTGTACATGACTGTGTAGAGCTGTATAATTCACAATAGCCAAAAGGTGGAAACACCCCAAATTCCATCAAGAGGTGAATGGGTTAGCACAAATGTGGTCCATCCACACAGTCTGGAATATTACTCAGCCGTGGAAAGGAGTGAAGCTGTAACACACACGGCAGTGTGGCTGGACCCCAAACACATGATGCTCAGTGAGGGACGCCAGACACAAAAGGACACATACAAAGAGATGGTGGCTTTCTCTGGGTTTGGGCCCCCAGAGACAGGTGGTTTTATGAAGGAACGTGGGGAGAGAGAGGGAGGATGCCCTGCCTCCACCCATCATTTACCTGCCCCTCAGCAGGTTAGAGCTGCTGCCACAGGGCCTTTGCACTGCTGGTCTGTTTTCCAGAGACTGAGGCCCTCCTCTTACCCTCCTCCCTCTGGCTAACTTTGACCAGACCATAGTGTGTCATCTTGGACATCCCCTCCTCCAGGAAGCCTTTCTGGATCTTCCACACAGGGAGGGCCAGTTCTCTGCTATGTATTTACAAGAAGCCCAATATCCTCACCCCCAAGGCCTGCCCTGTTTGTCCCCTATGACCTCTACAATCTCCCTCCCCCCATGTCCCCTGCAGGATCTGCAGAGGCCAAGACAGCTGAGAGAGACAGAAAGCGAGTTATCATGTTGATAACCTGGTTAATGGACTCCCTGAGCGGCTATTACTGACCTGAACTGCTATTTAGGTCAGGAGAGGTCAGAGGACACAATGACCCTTGCTTTGAAGGTGGCCTCCAGGGGCAGAGGGAATAAATGGCTGTGACAATGTGTCTTCCCGGATGGCCTACACCTTTCTCCTCCTCCCACCTCCAGCCCCTTCGAGCTTCTGCTTTGTCTCCCTCTGGACCTCAGTTTCCATGACTGGCATTATGGCTGGACCTGTGACCCCTGAGCGCCCATCGGGCACTCAGCAGGCGGGCAGGGAAGCTGGCTCCAGGTTGTGACCTCTGGCCCAGTTTCTATAACAAGAATTTCCTGGGAGCCTCCTCCTGGGGCACGTGGCCTGGCAGTGCACCTCTGGGAGGCCTCCGGGTGCCGCTCACCTGGCACGCAGGCTCCTGATACAGACATGCCCATCCCCAGGCAGCCCGGGTCCAAGGTCATCAAAAGTGGCTGTCCTGCCATAATTGAGTGAGTGAGGTTTTAAGAAGCCCCTTTGGGTGACTATAGAGACTCAGTGGGATGGGGAGAAAAGGGGTGGGCCTGTCACGCCTCAACTGGGAGAGGCACCCTGTGATCCAGCACCAGCTCTGCCCCTGGTCCCTCCAACCCCCGGCTCCGTGAAGCTCCACCCACTCCTTTTGGGGCACGCCCCCCCCAGTCCCTGTGAACCATTCCCTCCAGGAAGGACACTTTGTCTGACACAGGATCAACGCACCATCACCAACCCGATGGTGACTTTGTGCAGACGTCACCCCTGCCACAGCATCCTTGACACCAGCAGTTCCCAAAGTCCCAGGCATGGACACCACCTGCACCTGGTGCTGGAGGTGGAACTGTGACTGTTTGAGGGGGCACAGCCCCCCCAGCCAGCCTGTGTGACCCTGGGCAAGCCACATGTCCTCCCCGGGCCTCAGTCTCTCCTGGGTAACAGGGTTACTGTGCTAGGAGGGGCACAGGCTGTTTTTACTGTTATCGGTATTGTTATTATGATACTGTGATCTATGGTAAGAAATACATATCTGGTCTCAGTCCCACTTCCTGGCACAGAGCTCCTAAAACCCTTGGAATTGCCTAAGTGATAAGCAAGAAAAGATAAAATCTTTTGTTACAATATTCGGTCCTTGTCCTTGGTTCCTGAAATATCTCCAAGACAATGAAGGCAGAAGAAGCATCTTTTGCTATTTGCTATAAACCCCTCAACCAGCACCATGAAGCCTCCACAGAACCCCCGAAGGACGGGGTTTGGACAGCCCCCAGGTGGGTGGGCCGTGGAGGAGCTGACGGGCGGCGTCTGGGAGACCATGGAAGCTCTGCCCCCTGCCCCGTACCTGCCCGCCGCCTCTCCGTCTGGCTGTTCCCGAGTGAGATCCCTTATAATAAGTGGGTAATCGACTAAGTAAACTGTTCTCCTGGGTTTTGTGAGCGGTTGACGGAAGATTGAGGGACCTCCGATTTTTGGCCAAGTGGGACAGGAGTTATGGGTGTCCTGGGGACCCACTACTGTGACTGGCGTCTTATTGGGCTCAGCCCTTAACTTGTGGGGTCTGCCCTAACTCTGGGTGGTGTCAGAATCTAGGTAAATTGAAGGACACCCAGCTGGTGTCTGACAAGAATGACAGAATTGCTTGGTGTGGGGAAAAACCCCTACATCTGGTGTCAAAAGTGATGGTGTGAGTGTAGAGGAAATAGGGGTTTCCCTTTCAATAATAATAGGATAATCATTAATGATCAATGATTATTTGTGGAGTTATTATTAACTACCAACTTTTGTCTGGTTGGATTCCAGACAGAATTTGAGACAGGAAAAGAACTTGAATCGCAGGCAGCCGGAAGGGTCCTGGGAATAACCCTGAGGGGCCCCCATCCAGCAAAGGGAGACAGAAGCAAGACAGGTTATGGCCCCCGGTCGCCCGAGGTCACCGGGCACTTGGCTGTGCGCCTCCCATTGTCATTAAAGCTCTTTCCTCCAGACCAGCGCCACACTCCTTGCAAGTAGACACAAGTAGTAAACCTCCCTTCTCTGTTACAGTTTATTTCCACATAAAAATCCCCCAAAGCTCCTGGAAATGTCTGAACACGGCAATGGTCATCATAATGAATTGCTTTTGTTTTTTAAAAACCGCAAAACTCGCCATTGGAAGGATGGGTGTATGAGCTATGATTTTGGGAGAGGACTTGACCCAGGTGTCACAGGAGGAAAGCCCAACGTCCCATTATGACAGGCGCCTGGGGTCCATTGCATTTTGGCCACAGCTGCCCCAGAGATACAAATGGTTTGCATAACCAGTTTTGGAAGTCAAGCCCCGGATGTAGTGGCCGTGTGTGGACAGAGCTGTGCGGCAGAACTTCTCACACCTGCGGACAGGTGGCTGGTCCCGAGACAGCCTCTCAGGGGGCTCTCTTTTCTGGAAGGGGCTGCTGTGGCCAAGTTGGGGTCCTTCAATCCACTTTCCTATTGTCCGTGGCTGCTGGTGGTCCAGAGGGGTGGTGGGCGGTTCCTGTCGGAGTTGTGTGGCTAGAATCTTTAGTCTGTGGGCTGCTTCAGGGTAAAATGGGGTCTGTCCTTTTTTGACCCTCTGTCACCTTTATAGGCACTCAGTAATTGTCAGATTGGGTAGAACGCATCAGTTCCTATCTCTGGCTTCTTTTTTTGAGCCTGTAGCAAGGGACAAGCCTTCCAGAAGTTACTGCATTCTTTGGGGTGGGAGTGTGGGGCCTTCAGGGCCATGGGTCAGACTCCAGTGAGCAGAGCTGGTGGCCACCGGAGCCTGCAGTTTGGGGCAGCCTGGCAGATGCCTGGAGCTCCTTTTGTGAGAAGAGGTGCTCTGGGTGGGGGCGCGTAACAAGCAGACCTGGGATGGTGAGGGCCTTTGGGAAGGCAGCCTGGAGAGGCCCTTCCGCCAACCTGCCCCTGCCTCAGGCTCCCGCTAACACACTGCGGCCCAGAATATGGTCCCTGTCCTTTATTTGACATTCAGGAAACAGCAGAAACACAACTTTAAAAACCCCACCCAACCTCTAAATAGCCTGGCCTCACCGGGACACTGCTGGGACATAGAAGATACAGGCCCATAGCCACCCAGAAACCCCATATTTCTCAAGGTGGAAGCCGCTGGCATTGGGGTGGGATGGTTCCTTAACGTGCAGGGCTCTCTGTCGTGTGGCAAAGCAGCGGACATCCCTTTCTGGGGACACTAAATGCCAACAGCATCCTCCCACTGTTGGGATAACTCAGAACGCATCCCATGATGTCCCAGGTTCAAAAGCATTTGACATCTCTGCCAAGGGCAAGAAACTCACACTCAGAAACTGGGGGGGCAGGCCGACCAAACCCCAGGGACACCTGCTAAGAAGCCAGCTACTGAGCTGCTAAGGGGGGCCCAGAGACTGTGCCCACTCAAGTTTACAGAAATAGAGACTCTCAGGATTGGAGGGACCATATTCTTTAAGCCCTGTCCAGCCTTCTCTTCACTGTCTCCAGAGACGGGGGTTGGGGCTCACTGCCTCTAGCGGCCACCTGACTGGCGTTTGGACCACATTAGAAAAATCCATCTTTTGTCCAAGGGAAGGGTGCCTCCTTTGAATCAGGTGGCCTAGCAACCAAAGCCACTCGATTTATTTCCCAAGTGAACTTGAAAACACTCGTGTGTCCAGTACCCTGTCTCTTCCTTTCCCTTGGTCTGCATTTCTGAGATGAGCCTATTTCAGAGCTGGGTTTCTCTCGGTGGCAGCCCAAGGGGTGCCTCCTAACCCCGTGTTGAGGGGGTGCTGGAGAAGTGGGGACAGTTGAGTTCATTCCCTAGGTAGGAGGTATTGGTCGGGACTGCCCTGTGGCGTGGCATCTGTGGTAAAGGGGCTTGAGAATGTTCTAGGTTGGGGGGTATGGTCTTGCAACCGTCAGACCATGATGGTCACGTGGCTCTCACGCTGTGGGCCTCTGACGCCCCTAGAGAAGGTGGGTGTCATGAGAGACGAAGAGGGCTGGGCAAATGACATGCCATGAGGTTAGAGGCTGGGAGGTGCCGAGAGCCTGGCATTGCTGGGGGCTGAGCTTCTAGGCCGGGTGTCCAGGGCTGCAGGGGCTGTTCTGGGAGGAAAGGCACAAGAACGAATCCAGACCTGGCCAGGAAGCCAGTGGGTGTCCGGCTCCAACCCGGGCCAGGTGTCGGTCGAGGAAGAGAAGGGTCTTGAACCAAGACTTTGTGCAGCTACGACGGGTCTCTGAGGCCACCAAGGGCACGTGGGTCATGCCCTGTGCTTCTCGCTCTTCTCTGCCGTGAGCTCATGCGTGTGGAGGGGTGGAGGGCTGAGAACCGGGTCCTTTTCTGGAACGCACTAATACTGCATCACGTGAAAAAAATATCTCCAAGCAGCTAAAAGGATGCCAGGTTTCAGAGATGGATGGAGGAGACGGGCACCGTCCAAAGACTGGGGCTCGGGATGAGGTGGGGACGAGATCCAGGGCCAGAGGGTGTCTGATGGGGGGGTTCTTGGCATCTGGAATCTTCCTTCCTGTCTCTCTCTGTAATCTCAGCTCAGGACATGCTGGGGAGGGAGAAACACAGGCCACATTATTATTGTGGTTTTTAAAGAGGGTGGAAAATGCTGTTCCATGTGCATGGAACCCAAAAGAATGATCTCATCTGGCTTCAGTGGGCCCTCAGCAGCAAGAGTGGCACCTGCCCTTCAAGGTCTGCCACCTGCCACCCACCTCACAGGTGTGGTTCTGAAGGGAGCGACTCTCTCAGTGCCCCAGCAGAACAGGCCCTAGAGGTGGGGCCCTAAGACCAAAGGGGAGTTTCAGCCCATTTACTTGGCCACTCACCCCATCCACCCATCCATCCACCAGTCCGTCTATTCACCCTTCCGTCCACCTACCCATCCAACACCCCTACTCCCCATTCACTCACTTATCCATCCACCCAGCCACCCATCTGTCCATCTATCCATCCATTGCTATGATTTTTTTGTTTTTAATCATTAAAAAATTGTAAACATTTATTTTATCATTTCTACCCAAGGACTCCCAGGAAAGGGTCTAATTCTTCATTTCTGATAGCTGCTGACTTTCGCTTGTGGTAGATGATTTCCTTGTGTTTTGTGTCTGTGGATGTGAACTCATCTCCAGAGGGCATGGATTGAGATGATCTTGTCAGAAATGCATTAGGAACTTGCTTTGGCTCAGTGTTCCCAGGGCAGTCCTGGGCTCTAACACCACTTCTGATATTTATTTTCTGAGCTTGGGGTTTCCCGGGTCACATGGGTAACGTGAAGGCATGCAGCCAGGCCACGGTCCAGATGAGTAGAAGAGTGTGTAAAGGATGAGGACTTAACAGTGCATGTCCCAAAGAAAGGTCTGGTCCTTTCCCGGCTCCTGGTGGTGGTGGTGGTGGTGGGGTCACGTCTCAGCCCTTAGAATGTCCTTGTTTGACCTGGGAACCTGGGTCATTTCAGATAGCCTGTGCTAACAGTGCGTTTAGGGTGGGGGTTATCAACTCAGCCTCTGCAGAGGCTGGAGACTAAGGTCAGCTATGTGGGTGTCAGCCATGCATGTGTGACTGCTCCCCGGTAAGTACCCTGGACACCAAGACTTGCGCACCTGTCCCTGATTGGCAACATTTGCTGGGAAGTGTATTGCTGGGAGGGTAAAGGGCTATCGAAAAGCCCTCCTGGGAGATGACAGCTGGGAGTTCATGCCTGGTCTGTCCCGGCCCCCACCCCATGACCTTTTTCCTCTGTGTCCATCCATCTAGTGTAAAAACCAAAATTGAACACGTAACTTAGCTTTGCTGAGTTCTGTGAGTCCCAGCAAACCACTGAAACCAAGGGTGGGCTCCGGGACCCTGGACACCCAGAGGGGCTTTTCCTGGCATCTGGGACTGGGCAGACAGTGCGCCGTTTGGCTGAGTTACATCCGGGGCTCCAGGGGCCTGGCTTCAGGTGGGCATCCCAGGCAGAGCTGACCTGTTGTTCAGCTCCGGAGCCTCATGTCGCTGGCGCCCTCTGGAGTTGTTCAGGGACGGGATGCCCGGCCCCAGGGGAGGCCCAGTTGTCATGGGAACCACGGTCCCTCTGCCTTTCTGGTGCAGTATTCCCCCGCCCCAAGTGATAAATTATGAGGCAGTTGTCACAGGGTGGGCTCCACTTAGAATATCTAAAAAAAAAGGCACCAAGATCTCCCTACCTCCCACCCACCTTTCCTGATCTTCTGTGACCGGAGCAGACCTGTGGAAGATGGAGGGAGTCTTAGCATTATTTGCCTATTTTGGGATGGGGGGGCTTGGTATTTGGCTGTGAGCCCCATGAGGGCTGACCCAGCTTTGTCATCGTCTGGTACAAAGCAAGTGTCAGCACGTGTCTGCTATGTAACAAATGAGCCGGCACAGGCAGTGGTGAGGGTCCTAGCTGAGGCCCTTCCAGGATGCACAAGACCGCTAATGTGGCTCCGGGTCAGCCAGGTCCAGGGAAGCCGAACCGGTCCCTGGGGACTTGCATAAAGGTGCTCAGCCAGAACCTTCATTTGAGAGCAGGACCTGGTCTCCTGGCCGCATCGGCTGCCCACAGTCCCTGTGCCTGGCCTGTGCTGGATGCAACGGGAGGAGGGGGTGGTGCTGAGATGCAGCCACTGCCCCCCAGGAAGCTCAAGGACAGGAGGAGGGTATGTCCAGTGGCAAACGCAGGAGGAGGACCCAACAGAAAGAGACAGAAAAGGCGGAGGGTCAAGGATGGGGGCGGAGCCAGGCGGCACCTGTCCGCACATCCAGGGCGAGGCACTAAGGACCTTCCGTGGATAGTCACTGGATTTCTTTATAAAAGGAAGAGGGCAGGGAGAAAATAGGGGCAACTGTGTAACAGGTACGGGGTCTCTTTTAGGGGTGATGGAATGCCTTGGAACTAGAGAGAGGTGCTGTCTGCACAGTACTGCCAGTGCGCTAAATGCCACTGAATTGTGTGCTTAAAGTGGCTCGTTGCATGGCATGTGTATTTGACCCCAACAAAATAAAGAGCGGGAAGGGCGGGAGAGGGGTGCAGTCCACAGGGCTTTCCCGGACAGGGAGCATCTTCTGTACCTGGGATGCTCAGCATCTGAGCCCTAGCCCCCCTTGGGGGCAGGGGCGACCAAGGAGCAAAACTTTACATTTTACTGACTTAATTCATTTAAATATTAACAGCGGCCTCTGTGGTGGGGGGCAGGGGGGCCACCCCTTGTGGGACAGCCGAGGGGTGGAGGGAAGAGTGGTCCCCGATACTGAGCATTAGGAGGGAGTGGGCGTCATGCCAGCCGACTCACGCCCGCCTGCTTCCTTCATCAGTGTGATACCATCAGGACTGTGAGCACCCCGCAAAGACTGGTGGCCCGGATCAGACACTGTGGGGGGTGTCAGTTCTCGCCCATGGCCTCCCGCACACTTACCTGTCCCCCATCTGTGCTGCCTCTGGCTTCTCCTCCGGCCTGGGCAGGACCAACTCTGGCGGCGGCCTCGCGCTGGGGACAGAGAGAGGCGACCATGGATGACAAGCCCGTGTGGACCAAGGGGCTCTCGGCTCCCCCCGGGCCTGAGCCCCGGGCGGCCTGAGGGCAGTTTGGAGAGCATCTGCTGCCCCAGGAAGCGTTGGCCCCAGAGGCTGGGGACACGAGATCACCCAGGGGTTCATGAAGAGGGCAGCATCCTTGAGGCTGGGAGGAAGGGGGGTGTGTGGGGCCAGTAGGGGGCAGGAAGGATCCTGGACCATTCCTTCCTTCGGAACCTTGATCTCAGCTCATCCTTAGGGAGGCATTTACGCACTTGCTCCTTGGCTGCTGTGGCCCCACCGTGCTGCGGAGGGCGGCCACCCTGCTCGGGTTTATCTCTGTCCCTGTCCATGGCTGAGGCCTGGGAGGCGGGAGGAGAAGGGAGGGACCGGGACAGAGCGCCACAGAGACTGGGGAGGAAGGGACGACAGCGGAAAAAGAAACAAGACACACATTTCCACCTCACACCCATCAGGATGGCTACCATCATAAACACAGAAAGTAGCAAGAGAGAAGGATGCGGAGAGACGCGAGCCCTCGTGCACGGCCGGTGCGAGCGTTACATGGTGCAGCTGCTATGGAAGACAGGCTGGTGCTTCCGCAAAAAATTAGAACTAGAATCATGCAGAAATTCCACTTCTTGAGTCTGGACCCAAAAGAAGTGAAAGCAGGGACTCGAATGGATATGTCTGCACCGTATTCACAGCAGCATGAGTCTCCATAGTTAAAACGTAGAAGTAACCTGTGTCCATTGATGGATAAATACAACACGGTCTGTGCACGCACTGGAATAGTACTCAGCCTTGGAAGGACGTCCTGACGCCTGCTACAGCGTGGATGGGCTTTGGGGACGCTGTGCTCAGTGACATGGGCCAGACACAGAAGGACAGGTCCCGTCTGATGCCCCTCCTTGGAGGTCCCTAGGAGAGCCCCATCCACAGAGACAGGAAGTGTCTGGTGGGGCCGGGGGCTGGGTCAGGGGGTGGGGAGTGAGTGTTTCATGGGGACAGAGCTTCCGTTTGGGGAGATGGAAAGTTCTGGAGATGGTGGGGTGGTTGCACTATATATGAATGTGCTTCATGCCACTGAACCGGACACTTAAAAATGGCTAAGAGGTGGATTTTATGTGCATTTTACCACAGTAAACATTTTTTTTTAAAGAAAGAAAGAAAAGAAGAGAGGGGAGGGGAGGGAAGGAAGGGGAGAGAAAAGGAGGAGGAAACCCCCAGATGGCAGGGGATGGGGAGTCCTGCCCAGACTCGGGTCTTGCCTTGCTCCCTGCCACCCCGGCCGGGCATTATGAAATGACGCCGCGTGCAGCCGCCTTCCTGCTCTCTCTGCATCTCATCGCCCGCCTGCCCCAGGATCTATTTTCTCACCCGGTGAGGCATCCCTGTCCTTTGCCACTTGGCGAACCAGGACTCTGTCTTACTCGCCTCTGTTTCCCCTGAGGCGGGCACAGGGCCAGCAATGATACATGCTTTCGACACACCGAAAGCCTCAACTCTCTCCTGGACTTGCTGTGCAGCCCCAGGCAGGTGCCTTGCCCTCTCTGAGCCTCAGATTCCTAGGCTACAAGATGCCGTTAGGAACCTCGGCCCCTGCCCAGCTCTCAGAGGGCCTATGAAAGTATCCAGGAGATGGTGTGAGGGCCCCATGGCTGGGTGGGTCCGGAACAGTCCTGAGGTTTTGTGAGGGCTGCTCATGGTCTATACCACCATGAAAAACGAGCCAGTGAACTAGTGAAAGGGCATTTGGGTCTGTTGGGAGTAAGCAGGGGACTCGCGCTTCCTGTCAAGGGTGAACCTGGTCATGATAACGACCAGCCCACTAGTTTTGCCAAGTGGGGGCCACTGTTCCTGGTTTCTCACAATGGCCCCCAAAGAGGCTGTGAACTTTCTACTTGCCTAATGGGACTGTGACTATGGTGGGGGAGCCTGGATTTGAACCCCAGTCTGACAGGGCCTTGAGCCATGTGCATGTGTGACGTGGGTTCTTGTTGAACTGAAGCCACCAGTCACCCCAACTTGGGCCCAACTCAGCACCAGCCCTGACACAGCCACTCGGCACAGACCTCTCTCTCCTGGCCTTGAGTCTTTCCTCTTCGTACCTGGAAGAGAGAAGAAGCGTGTCAGACGCAGCCCCCTCCCCCCAGGAGTGCTGCCCGGGGAATTCCTCTCCCTTTGGGAACGGAGAAAGAATCCCACTGTCATATGGGACACACGCCAGGCTGTAGAGCAGAAAGGACAGCTGGAGCCGCCAGTCCGCAGGCCGTTTTATGTTCCCTGCAGCGGCTTTCCCCGCGCAGGGAATTATGTTCTGTTGCTCCATTTCAGCATCTGGCATCGACGCGACTCAGCTTTCCTGGCCTGACTCAGCGTCAGTTGACTGAACAGCGCCGTTATGAGCAAGGCCTTCATTGACATGGTTTGGTCTCCATGCCTCTCCACCAGGGCAAAGCTTTTCTGTAAAGGGCCAGGGAGTAAATAGTTTTGGCTTTGCAGGCAAGTCTCGACTGCAGCTACTCAGTTGAGCTGTCTCTGGAAATCAGCCATAGATGATGTGTCAATGAATGGGAGTGGCTGCACGCTGATAAAACTTTATTTATAAAAACGAGCTGCGGGCCATGGCTTGCTGGATGCCCAGGACCAGTTGATTTTCTAATGTCATACGTGCTTGTTTCATTATATTTTCCTCTTTGCTGCTGCCCTGCCCAGTGAGTGGGGAGGTGGGGAGCCCGCAGGCCTGGGATATGGAGGTGGGGGGTGCTCACGTGGCCTGGGGACACTCACTGTAGCACGCAGTCTGGGATCTGCACGTGTTCCATGGGGATGAGCTGCTCCAGGTCTTCTAAGCTGTGCACATACTGGATCTTGTTGATGAATTTGACGCTGGCGGGAAGAGAAGGAGGGAGATGTCTGAAATCCGGTCCTTGGGGTGGTTGCCCAGGCCCAGAAGGAGCATGGCAGACAGGGGTGCACATACGACCCTACTGCAGGATGCCCCAAGCGCCTTCGTTCAAACCTATCTGCCTGTCCTTGCCAGGCTCGACCCCTGGCCCCTAGAGGGGTGGGCAGGGCAGACCCCAGGGTCTTTCCTCATAAGCAGGGAAGAGACTGAGCCATGTGTCTGACCCCAATCCCTACTAGCAGAGGAACTTGCTTGAAGGAAGCAGAGCTGCAAGAGATTCTACTTGCCTCTAGACCATCTCTCCATCATCCCCAAGAGCTACTCCTCTGTGTCATTTTTCCCATGAATACCACTACCACTGCCTGGCATGACACCGGGAGTCATTTGGGCACAGGAAGGGTGCAGGTGGGGCTGCTAATTCACTCTCCTTTCGGGAGGAATGGCTTCTTCCTGGTCAAACCCAGGCCCAGGCTGTTTGGTAGTAGGAAGTGTTTGTTAGTGGCACGTTGCTTTGAATTCACAGTTATTATTATTTTTAAAAATGTAACTTAAACCTAATTGGCAAAATGTGAATCACACTTCTTTTCAAGGTCTAATACATGTTTTTCATGATGAGGAACAAAGCGCCAAGAGACTATAACAGTACAATGAATAAATAAGCAATCAAGCTGATGGGAAAAACAGAGCCAAGTATCTACAAATGTGTGTCAAGAAGTTGTGTATCTATTTTTAGAGCTAAGATGCAAATTTGGCTCCAGCTTTCCAGTCTGGTGCAAAGGCAGACACATGACGAACCATGCAGTTCACAGGCCTGTACGGGAAAAATAAATGAGTTACTCGGCCGAGGCCAACGGGAACCAACTGGAAATGACAGACGGTTTCCCGTGGAGTCACAAAGCAGCCATGTATAGTGGAATGAACAACTCCAAATGCTTTTGAGCAGTTGTATTTCTTTTTTTTTTTAATTAAAAAACCCCGGCAGTTACTCCTGGAGCACAAGGTGTCCTCCAGCTGGTGTGAGAGAGGGTAAACCACAAACAGGCAGGAGCCAGGTTCCCACCTGTCCCTCCCGGGTTGTCCACACTTGATGTGGAATGTCTGAATCCAGAGGGCGCTGATTTGTTGGAAACGTATTTTCAGCCGTGCAGAGCTGACACCTGCTGAGCTATAAATACAGGCAAGAACCACATAGTGTCTGCCTTGCCCACGTTGGAAATAAATACCCCAGTCTCTGCTGTGACAATGCTCTCCGCCTGTGAGCCCAGCTTTCTGTCTCATGGGGCAGAGAGAATCCCCGCCCACAGTCCCAACGTCAAATGATCTTGGACTTACAGTCCCAGAAACCTCAGCACCTGGCTCCACTTTCCCTGGCTTTTCTCTCCTCTCCCCTGCTGCTGCTTTGAAAGCTCAAAATGAGATCCTCAAAATTCACCAAGGGAAAAGCAACCCTACATGAAAGAATTATCTGCATTCAAGGCAAATTTAAGTTCCCCAGAATTAGGCGATTCGGAGGATGGAATGCAGTTCTCTTAGGCTGAAGCACATGTTTCCCCATTTCCCCTGGCGTATTATCACCACAAATGATCCATAATCGGTGTGTTATTCACCTGGTTTCACTGATGGGCAAATACTTAAGGTGGTCAGCAGTCTTTGAACATAGAAAGTCTGAGATGGTCTCCTTGCAAATCGCTCACACTGTTGAGTAGGCAACCTCTTTCAAGGCGAAGCTAGGCCCTGTGTCTTAAATGCATCACAGATCCTTAACTGGCAACACGGCAATGAAGGATCTTGATTCTGTTCAATGTTTTGAATTATATTAAATGTACATTTCCATTTCATGTGATTAACTAAGGTATTTAACACGCCCAATTTTGCTTTACTTCACCTGTTTATCTGGGGGCTTTTATATCGTGTAGTAAAGGTTTAATTCAGCAGGCTTGGAGTGCCCACACCCTGTACATTGCAAAGAAAAGACTGGATGGGGTGTCACCTGCAAACCCTTGGACTGTTCTGCCTGGTAAGAGTGTTTTGGGCTACCTGGGCTTTGAGCCGTGCGACATAGTCAGTGCTAAAGATGTGATTTACAGTGGGCCACGTCCTACCAGTTTGACCACGGGAGCAGCTGGAGACTGAGTCACTAAGGTGGGCCACTTGGGTAGGTCCTCCCTGTGTGGCTCAGCCCCAGGGACAACCCAGACACCATGGTGAGCTTCCTGGTGGGCAGTACTTCCTACAGGTTGTCACACATCACTGCAGGGAGAGTTAGGGGCTTTTGCCACACCTCTGCTGGGAGGGGACAACTGGAAGCTCATTTAGACTTCTCCCGTGCTCCCATATACACCTTTATGGTTTGCTGAATTTAATCTTCATTCTTTCACTGTAATAACCCATAACTGGAGTATAACAGCTATTCTGAGTTCTGAGTTATCTTAGCAAATCATCAAAGCTGAGGGTGGTTTTGGGGATCCCCAAAATACATGATTTATTCACTGCATCGTTGGCCAGGATGGCATCCTAATGTCTCCCACACAGATTCTGGAGTGAATGGAGGAGCTGGGCTCACTTCTAGGGGAGTGTGGTGGACAAGCGACCTTGCTGTGTGACTTGGGGTGAGTTCCTGGACCCTGCTGAACCTCGGTTTCCTCACCCATGAAATGGGTGCAACAACATTAACCTCTCAGGGTTGTGGTTGTACCTGTTAAAAGGTTTCTACCATTCCCAGCAGGAGAGCTGGTTGCTATTATTTTTCCTGTGTTGGTCACTTAATAATGATGTGTATGATTTAAGACTGTCAGAGAAGCTGAAAAACACAGATTAAAAAAGAAAAAGACAAAAAAAAAAAGAAAGAAAAAGACATGCAACAACCCATGTGGGTAACGGGACACAGGCTAGAATCTTACCTGATGAAAGGTCGGGAGATGGCTAGCACGGTGCGAATGAACCAGGATGGGTGGACGATGATCAGGGACTTCAGGTTTTTCCGCAATCTGTGTGGGGAGATGGAAGCAAGATGGGCCCTAGGGCACAAGCCCCGGGGAGGCAGCTAATAGGTATCGCCTTCTCTGAACCCCCAGTAGGCACTGCGATGATCCCCACTTTACAGGGAGGAAGGAGATTCTCTGTACTGCTAAGGCCCTTTCCAGAGCAGGCAGGTGGCGGAGCTGACATCTAGTCCTGGCTGGCTTTTAACTTTAGAGTCTGAGCACTTGACTTTGTAGCTGCCACACCTCCTGTTTCTGAAAGATTTTACTGGTCTGACCACGTGTTGAGGTTGTGTCAAAGGGCACGCTCCTCAGATTCAGTCCTAACCCCCAGGACCTCCAGAAGGGGATGTGATTTGGACAGTAGGGTCATGGCAGTGTCATTCGTTAAGGTGAGGTCCTACCAGAGCAGAACGGCCCCCTAGTCCAGTAAGAGCGGTGTCCTTATAAAGAGGGATGTTTGGGCACAGTCATGCACATGGGCAGAAAGTCCTGTGACCATGAAGGCAGAGATGGGGGGGCACATCTGCAAGCCAAGGAACACCAAGGATTGCCAACGACCACCAGAAGTGGGGAAGGCAGGCCTGGAACAGAACCTCCCGCACGGCCTCCGAAGAAGCCAACCCTGACGACGTGTGCTGATCTCGGACTTGCAGCGTCTGGAACAGGGAGGGAATAAAGTCTGTTCAAGTCGCCTGGTCTGTGGTGCTTTATGACGGCAGCCTGAGCTACCTACCACACCACCTTCCAGTCCGGCCCCAGCGCCCGGGACCCCTGGCCCTGTGTGGTGTTTCCTGCACCCTGGTCCCCAGCACCCCACTCCCCTCCTGTCAATCATCTGGTAACACTTCTTCAACCAGCCGATGCCGGGCATCCTCCGCCGGGGGGTGGCTCCATTCAGGTACACGATCATGTAATCTTCCGCCACCAGGAGTTCCAAACTGCTGATGACATACCTGGTCATGGGGCACAGAGGACAGGGGCCCCGGTGAGAGGAGCCCGAGTTGGGAAGCCCCAGGTCCCCAACTGGACACCTGTGACACTTGGGCGCCAGCTGTGCCAGCCACACCTGTTCAGGTGGTGCCGGCTGGCCTGGCACAGTCAGGGTGGAGGAGTCCATCCCATCTCAAATGTGTCAGTGGGCTTCAGGATGCTAGTGATTACTACTTTACTGAGCACTTACTAGGCACCAAGTGCTTTATATGATGACCCTGTCTAATGTCTCCACGAACCTGAGGGGTGGGTCTCAACAGCCCCAGATAACAGTTGGGGAATAGGTACCCAAAGTGGACGGTGCGCCACACCCAAAGTTAGGGATTGGGGGTCCCCACTGTGTTAGAAGGACATCTGCATATTAACAGTAACATGAGTAGTCACGATTTGCTGAGCTCTAAGTGTTACCTGCTTTATATGTACTATCTGTGTCCTTCATATAAAACTTATCTGTGTGTCCTTGGGCCACTGAGTTCTCCGGGCCGCAGGCTTTGCTGTAGAATGGGAGGTGACAGCGTCTGCCCGGCAGGGGTGTGGAGAGGGTGGAATGCATTTTCACTGATGAAGCACTTAGCTTTGTGGCTGCCATGCATTAAGTGCTCAATACGTGACATTTATGATGAAATAAATACATGATAAATAAGTGATGCTGATGGCAATTGTGTGATGAGGCCCAGTGGGCGAGCAGGGGACTCAGATGGTGATCTGCCGGTGGCCCGGCCCCAGCCTGTTGCTCGGAAGAACCCCCAGCCAATGCGGTTCTTGCTGTCTGACCCAGCCCACTGGCTGGGACCCTCAGAACTGTCGGTGCTCGGACGGGGCCGGCGGGTCACTTACAGGAAGAGGTTCTCCATGATGTAGTGGTAGTCGGGGGAGCTGCTGTCCGGGAGGAAGCAGGCCGCAAAGACAATGATGGCGTTGAGACCCTCACCGTAGTACCCTGGGGAGAGGCAGCCAGTGAGTGGCCCCAGGCAGAGAGGAGCTGAGCCTTCTCTGAGCGCTGAGCCGCCCCTTACTGTACCCCAGGTGTCTGCCCATCTCCAGCCAGCCCTTCCCATGGTCCGCACTCAGAGGGTCAGCTCTGAGTCATAGTAGCCCAGCTGGGGGAACAAGCAAACCCCAACCTGTCTCTGCCTTTGGTGTGGAACGGCAGCCACCCTTACAGGCGCCCCCTGGGTGTGCCCTGCACATCTATGCAAGTTTCACTCCCGCCAACCTGGAGGCAAGGGCTTAATACCCCTGTGGTTCAGATGAAAAGACCAAGGTTCAGAGTGGGCCGCTTACGACCTCCAGTTGCTCAGCTGGAGCTGGGAGGAGGCGCAAGGGTTGTGGTCTCACCTCCATGGGTCACCACCCTCATGTAGGGCCGGATCATGTGCAGATCAATTCGGTGCTCTTGTTCTCCTATGATCACTGTCCGCCACAGGCGCCCATTGGCTGCACTGCCGTCCTCTGGGGCGCCGTCCCCAAACAGATCCGCGCTGTCCCCAGGCATGTTCTTGGCAGCAGCCACAGGGGTGTCATCTGGAAGCAGCCCGGGGGTAAGAGGAAGGGACGCTTGGGTGGACACATCTTGTCACAGCCGCCCACCCAGTCTCCCCCTTCCTGGCTGCCTGTGCGGCCCACGGCTCTGTGCCCTGCCTGCGGGCCTTGGCTCACACGGTCTTCCCCGCCTGCACGCCCTGCCTGCCTGTCTCCCTCTTCCGCCGGCCCTCACGGCCCTCGGCCTCACCCTCCCACTCCAACTCGTTGCCATTTCCTAGGAACTCCAGGGAGTCCGTCTCATCGGGGGTCTCGATGTCATCCACATTGATATCCAGGTCATCAGGTGTGTCCAGGAAGTCGTCAGACAGCAGGGAGCCCTCACTCTGGTCCAGGGAGATGTTGATCTCCGGGGCCACCAGTGTCTTCCGCTTGCGATGAGCCCCGTTGAAGTTCAGCGTGTTGGGAGGGGCTAGACGAAAACAGGAAAACAGAATGAAAAAGCAGTCTCTCTCTTCTTTCTTCCTCCTGGTCTCCATTTCCAACTCGGTGGGAGCTCCAGCCCCATCACGTAGAGTGGTTAGAAGTCAGAAGACATCCTTTTACTGCAGCTGTTAGTGTTGTGACCGTCTGGTTCTGAGGTCAACACCAGGCCCTTGGACGTTGGGCAGACTCAGGTTCCAAGCCAGCCTTTGCTGTTGACTAGCTTTGTGACCCCCCCAGAGCCACCTCACTGCTCTGAGCTTGACTTATTATTACCATCTGCACGATGGAACTCACAGAAGGTGAGTCAGGTCAAGGTCGCATGGATGACCCCCTAGACCAGACACCGGGTGGCCTGCCCAGTTCCAGGCAGTTTTCTCTGGACCTACCAATATCTGTGGTTATTGTTGCCTCCGGGTCTGGCTGGCAGAGGATGCCCACATTCTACTTTGTACCTCTCTGTGACGATCGACATTCTGATAACTAACATGGATCACATGACAGGGGCCAGCTCTCTGTGAAGCTCTCCCTGGGGGTCTTCACGTTCCAACCGGGCAATATCCCTATTAGGCAAGTTCTGTGATTCTCCCCTTTACCAGAGGAGCAAATGGAGACATGGAGAGATGAGGTCCTTCCACACAGCTCAGGAGCTGATTAAGGTGGATATCCCTCACAGTTTGGACTGCTTTCTCCTAAAGAGGCAGCCTAGACTCTGGTCTCCTTAAAAAAGGTGGTTTCTCCCCCTGAGCTGCCCCCAAAGGGTTAAAGCTTCTCTGACAGCCAAGTGAGTAGAGCCAGCCCCTGGGAGGAGGGAGTACATGGGGGGAAGGCTGTTATCTGCCCCCGAGCTGCCTTCTAGAAACTTCGGCAGCTACCCCCAGTTTCATTACAAGCCCAGGAAGGACAAAATAAATAAACCAATGAGAAAGTCCTGGTCTCCTCCTATCAGATAAAGATGTTCACTGATCAATAATTAAATGGACCAGCTCCTCAAATTGTCTTCCTTTGAATTTCTCCATCCCTAAGCGGCTGATCAGAGGTGACAGCTTCATGAGATCCTGGGATGTAAATGTGTGCAGGGGCAACAAATGAAAACAATAAAACAGGCATATTTATCAAGTGCCTGCTACGTGCTGGGCGCTGACCTAATTTCTAGATCTCACCATGACCTTGTATGGTAGGAAATGTTACACTTTTTACAGATGGGGATGTTGAGGCTGCGACCTACCCAAGGCCACCTTCATATCTTTTCCTTTGGGGTTAAAGTTATGGGTCACAGTGTGGTGATAGTAAAGCTGAAGGCGTCTATGTGACATTTCTCACTGGTGTGGAAGCCAGGCGGCAGAGATGCCACCATGTGGGCCTGGAGGACAGAGCATTGAGCCAAAGAGGATTATTCTCCACTTCAAATCAAATGGAATTTTCCCTTAAAGAAAAATCTAATGGAACTTAACCCTGCCAAGGTTCAGACCTGCTGGGATCCACGATCCCTTTCCTCCTTCCCATTTCTCCCTGTTGTAACAAGAATATTTTACCCTATGCCTTGTCCCACTGTCATATTTTGGAAGCAGATGACTTGTCTGGTTTCACAGGTTCACAACTGGGGAGGAATTTTGCCCCAGGATGAATCACACTCAGTTTTGTACCTCTTAAGGCATCAGCTGATTGGACGAGGCCCACCCACATTACCGAGGACAATCTGCTTTACTCAGAGTCTACTAATTTAAATGTTAATCTCATCTAAAAAAAATGCCCCCAGCAGAAACATTTAAAATTAGGTTCAACCACATATCTGGGTACGGCGGCCCAGCCAAGTGGACACATAAAATTAACCACCACATCTCTCCATCTCAAGGCCCTTAACTTATTCCCATCTGCAAAGTCCTTTTAGCCCTGTGAGGGGCCATTCACAGGTCCCAGGAATTAGGATCTGGAGGTCTTTGGGGACCATTATTCAGCCAGCCACACCTAAGAAGGCGGGTATGGTGATTACACATCCCTTGTTTTACACAAGCAGGAAATAAGAGTCGCAGAAGGATGCAATGAAGTCTATCCTGCAGGGATGTGACAACAGCAGGCAGAGCCCATGCGCTCAGGTACTCTAGGGTGACCAACCATCCTGAATTGCCCCAGAAAACTGGGACAAGTCGGTTCTCCTACCTGCCCATTGGCACAGTGCAGTGCGAGAGTGGGCAGGCCTGGCACTCACTGCTGTGTGACCTCAGGGCATGGCTGACCCTCTCTGGTCAGTCTTCTCCCTGTATGGTGGGCACTATGATAGGCTGAATGGGGGAGATGCAGGCAGAGCAACCTCAGAGCTATGAGTCTTCCTGGGGCTGACTTTGTGCCTGGTACCACTTTACACATATTACTTCACTTCATTTAATCCTCACATGGCCCTCCTTCAGGGAGCTCACTGCCTGAAATTAGTAGATGAGGAATCACAGGCACAGAGAGGCTGAGCGATCAGCTCAGGACACACAGCAACCCAGCACGCCGACTTCATGACTGCACCCACATTTCCCCTCCCCACCCCGGCTGCTTTCCCTGCAGGCCTTGGAGCAGAACCACCCCCTTCCCTGACATGCTGCCCAAGAGGCATGGATTCTGACATTTCTACACTCAACGATGTCGGGCAGAGCTAAGATCTTGAGAAAGCATGCCCATTTCTGCAAGCATGGAAACTTACAGGACGTGTCTTCCGCAGGGCTGCAGAGCGAGTCCATCCCTGTCTCTTCTGGGAGTGGCCTTCAGACCCAGCCGAGAGCAGATATCAGCCATCGGGCACCACAAATCCAGTCACCAGAACATGGAGTTCAGACAAAACAACAGCAACAAAATCCATTTAGTTTTGGGGAATCCCTGGAACAGAATACATCTGTTCCTTAGCACAGAGAAATTTAAATGTTGGTGCTGGACAGCTCCCTTCAGATCATCTAATGGACATTAAGCCTTTCTTTCTTTCTGTCTGTCTGTCTGTCTTTTTTGTTGGGGTGGGGAAAGCTCGAGGCCCGAGAAAAGATCTCATCTAACATCATCCAGTTTCAGAGTTTGGAAGTATAGGTAGCAAGTCCTGCAGGGTTTGGTCTCTGATGAGCTGTCGCGGCCAAACGCAGCAAGCAGTTGTCGGGTGGACAGGTCAGCTGAAAGCTCTCTGTGGCTGCCAGGGGGATAGTTTGAGCAACAAATACATCACGGAGTATTGGACTGTTAGCTGAAGTATGAGATAAAATGTCCGTGAGTCCATATGGACATAACGAAATGACTGAATAAGTAAATTTAGGGAAGAAGAGACAAATTTCCTGTATGTAGATACTCTGCCCCCAAGGAGATGGAGAATGACTCCCTGTTCGGTAAATACGGGCTGTGCACAGCGACTTCCTCCCAAAGAGCACGGCAGGGAAGGGGGCAAAGAGCGACCTTACAGCAGAGACAGCTGGAAAATACACATAAGGCAGGGGGTCAAGGTCAACCTCCCCACTGGTCAGTCATGGTGACAGCATGCACCCCCGCCATGATGGGGTGACAGGGACCCTTCATCCTCCCAAGTCTAACCATGAGAAAAACACCAAATTCCCTGACCAGGCCTCCTCCAAACTGTCAAGGGCATCAAAAAACCAAGAGGAGTCCAAGGAGATGTGACACAGAAGGTCATATGGGATCCTGGATGGGGCCCTGGGGCAGAGAAAGGCATTAGGTGAAACCAAGGCGATCTGAATAAACTGTGGACTTCAGTCACTAGTAACGTATCAGTATCAACTGGAATGAGTGTCCCGTACTATGTAAGATGTTAATCAGAGGAGAAACTGGGTGTGAGGTGTAGGGAAACTTTCTGGAATATTCTTGCAACTTCTCTGTACATCTAAAACTTCTGAGGAATAGCCTTTTTTTTAAAGAATTACGCAGCCAATTCTGCACGTGTGTCCTTTAATGCTGGGCTGCGCGTGGATTTGCAAAACAAGACCTGTTTCTTTGGCAATGCCTGCACCGCTTTTTGGAGCAGCAGCTCATGCTCCCTGAGTGTGTCCCATGTGTCCCAGCTCCTCGGCTCCCCGGGGAAATACCCAATCCCAGGCAGAAAGCTTTGCAGAGCGCACAGGGCTGCCAGGGGGTCTCGCTGCAGGGTGTGCTGACTCAGGGGGGTGCTGCAGCCTTGTGTCTGCAACCCAGCAGTGCTGGCTCAGCTGAAAGGGGAGCTGTTTAGATGGGGAAAGATGGCAGATTGCTTTTTCCTTTACTTTCTGAAAACAACGCATTCCCTCATCTCTGTTACTCATAGGATGTGAGCCAGCACCTTTCACAGGTGAAACCTATCCATGCTTTTTCCTTCCCACCATTCCGCTTTTCTCTCATTCACCATGCACCAAATGTTCTTTGAATAACTACTACCTCCCAGGTGCATTGGCAGGTCCAGGACGTAAAGGATGAATTGGATGTCACCCTGTTCTCATGGAGGTCAAAGGTGAACATCGAGCAGAGGCTCAAAGGAAATGAAGACATCTGTCCACACAAAAACTCATACTCGAATGAGTCACTGGAGCCGAAAAAGTGGAAACGACCCAGATATTCATGAATGGATGACTGGGTAAATACAATGTGGTCCATCCACGCACTGGAATATCACTCACTGACACGTTACAACATGGATGACCTTGAACACACGATGCTAAATGTAAAAAGTCAGACCCCAAAGTTCATACAGTGTGCGAATCTACTCATGTGAAATGTCCAGAACAGGCAAATTCAGAGACAGAAAGTGGATTCGTGGTTGCCCGGGGCTGGGGGAAGGGCTGGGGAGTGTGGGGAAAATGGAAGCTCCTGAGACCAGGATCCTCACCTGATCCTAAGCTACTTGATGGTGTAATTGGCCTCCTGCTAGGCTACTGCCTCCACACCCATAGGCAATGAGCTGTTATTGACTAAGTCACTATATAAAGAGACAGAAGTGGATCACTGACCTGCAGACTGCTGGTTGCAGATGGGATCCTAGAACTCAACCTGTCACTGGGAGAATAAAGCCGAATATAAACCCTTTGACCCCAAGAAGTTCCGTTATCATTTCTCAGTCTCATGGAATCAGGAGTAAACTTGCCCAGGGCAGAAACATTCAGACAAGACACAGAGTGGACTGCTCAGGAGATGGGGATTCATTTTGGGACCATAGAGACGCTTAGGAACTAGACAGAGGGGATGGCTGCTCAGCACTGTGAATGTACCAAATGCCCCCGAATCGTACATTTAAAATGATGAATTTTGTGTTATGGGAATCTGCCCTCGATAAAAAAAAAAAAAGCAAGCTTCAAATAAAGTCAGAAGACAATTTTAAAGAGGAAGACAGGCCTGAAGATTCATCTCACATGCCCGTTTGACGTACGTGCTGCTCTGTCCTGCCCACACAGCCTTTAAACACATTTTCGATTTGCTGTCAAACCAGTGATGTGACACAAAACATTTTGGATTTCTGTCTGTTCTTTTTTTTTTAGGGGAGCAAGGCAGAGGCTTTGCTTTTTTAGAGATAAAGTGAGAGGACAGAGCTCCTGGCTCAGGCCAGGAGGGGACAAGAGAGCCCCCAATTTCTGTCTTTTCTTGAATCAGATCTGCCCTTGCCATGTGGTAACAACTATCAGGAACTGATTGTCGGCCACCCCTGCTCCCCTGGGTATTGGAAGTTCCTTGCAGCTTATTCTCTCATTTATGCCGCCTTCTTGGTGCCCATTAGTCCGAGGTGGCAATTCCTGTTCCAGAAGCAGCTGGCATCCTCCTAACTGCCCCCGTGGACATGGCATTTGCTGGGTGCCACGCTGGAATGTTCACAGCAGGATCTTATTTGCTCCTCATGGCAACCCTAGGAGGCAGGTAAGAAGCCTGTTTCACAGAGAAGGAAACTGAGGCGGCTAGGGGACTCCCCTTGGGGTGGTGGGGGTTAAAACCACCTCCTGGCAGAGCCAATTCCAGTCACTGCCCTCTACTGCCCCCTTGTGCTTGGCCAGCACATGTACAACAACCCCAGTGGGGACAGCAGGGAAGAGGCCTACTGGCCTGGGGGTGCTCCCCTTGCCTGCCCAGCCAGGGGCCCCGAGGGCACCCTGTCCAGCCACCAACTCCACCTGCCAGAGGAAAACTGCACTGCTGTGCAGCTGGCTCTTTCTTCAGTCCTCATCAGGATGTGGCCCCATCCCCAACCCTGGACAGTCCACGTCAATCCTATGCTGGCCTCTAATCTAGTGGACTGCTGCCCGGCTGCTGCTGAAATGTCAAGGTGGGGAAAGCACCCAGCTGCTTGGTGCAGACTGGGAAACCGAGGAATGTGAGGGAATCCATGCAGATGTCTGAGGGTCTAAGAGCACACCCTTGCTGTGCCACTCTCCAGTGCTAGCCTTCCCTCTCTGAGCCTGTTTACATCATCAGTAACATGGAAATAGAAGTGGTGTCTCCTTCTCATTCAGTGAACACATATGCATGAGGTTTCTGGGCTGCGCGAGGCGTACAGAGCTGAATGTGAGAGGCAGGGTCCCAGTTTGGAGGGGCTTATGGGCAGTTTTATGCCGACCTGGCCAGCCTACGGTCCCCAGTTAGAAGATCACTGTTAGTCCAGGCGCTGCTTGGAAGGTATGTGGTAGCTGTGCTTCATTCACATGCACAATCTGTTGACTTTAAGTAAAAGAGATTACCCTTGACAATGTGGTCCTCGTGTAACTGAAAAGGCCTGAAGGTTTTCCTGAAAAGGACACAGTTCTGCCTCAAGACACCAGCACGGACTCCTGCCCAAGTTCCCACCATGCCCTGCGGATTTTAGCCTCGGCAGCTCCCGCAGTGGTGCAAGCCAATGCCTTGGAATAAATTATATATACTAGACATAAAATATACATACTCAACCAAAAAAAAAAAAGCAAAAATATGTAGACTTATGTATATAAAAGAATACACAAGATATATAAAGTAATACATATATATGCTTACTATTATATATAAAAATATATCATTAGCTATAATAGTATATAATACAAATATATATTAGCTAATTAATATATATAAGTATATGTAATTTTTATATATAAAATATAATATACATATATTTATATAAATATACATATATATAAAATAAAATATACAAAATATATCTAATATGTAACTAGACATAATTGTATATAGTTACTATAATTAATACATGTTTTATATATTTATACACACACACACACACACACACACACACACATATAAAATGAAGAACTACTGGTTCTGTTTCTGTGAGGACCCCTGACTGATACAAGAGGGAAGGAAGATAAATCAAGGAAGCAAATAGATGAACAAAGCTGATTGATACTTGCAACAGAGAAAATAAACCAGATGCAGAAAGGGAGAGAAGGGTGCGCTTCGGGGTGATCAGGGTTGGCCTCTTTGAGGACGTGATTTTTGAGCGGAGACCTGGAAGCAAGAGACTGGCATTGTGGGAAGATTGGGGGAAGGGCAGTCCAGACGCGGGTGCAGCAGGGGCAAAGGCCCTGGGGCTGGAGTGCGCTGGGCGAGGTCTAGGACTAGATCGGAGAGCGGACCAGGGTGCCAGGAGCAGAGAGAGCCACGGGGGCGTGGGGGAGGCAGGGCCAGGGGGAGGAGCTGTCGTGGGGCCGGGAGGAAGCCGCGAGGCCCAAGCAGCTGGCACCGCCCCCGGAAAGCGGAATGCGATGGACGTTCAAGAATGCTGCCCTGGAGAAGCCGGCTCAGCAGGACCACAGGCTCCTCGGAGGAGCTCCCTGCTTCCCGACATAGCTTGAGCGGACACCCATCCTGCCGGTCCCCAGGGCTGCGGCTTTCCAGGCCAGGTGAGCCCTCCTCGCTATTTCCCCAAACCCCGGGAAAACCTCATGCGGAGCTGAGGCCTCCCCGTGGACGGGGGTGGGGGGTGGGGGGGGTGGATCAGATGGTTCCCCGCCGCGCTCAACCCAGAATCTGCGATGGGCAAATGCAAAGGGGGGTTCCCCTTACTATGCAAAGTGTATAGTAACCTTCTGAAGTGGGTTGAATTGTGTGTCCCCCCACTACAAAAAGATAATTCAAATCTTAACCCCCAGCGCCCGGGACTGTGGCCTATTTGGAAATAAGGTCTTTGCAGATGTCGTCAAGATGAAGTCACACTATGAGCCCTAAATCCAGTGAATGGTGTCTTTATAAGAATAAGGAACTTTGGACACAGACACAGGGAGAAGGGCACGGGAAGACGAGGCAGAGATTGGAGGGATGTGTCTGCAAACCAAAGAGGCCCAAGGATTGCTGGACCCACGAGAAGCCGGAAGAGGCAGAAGGGACTGTCCCCTAGGCTTCGGAGGGAGTATGGCCTGGTTGGCATCTTGACCTTGGACTTCCAGCCTCCAGAACTGTAAGGAACACATCTGCTGTGTGTCCCGTTTGTGGTATCACGTGTTACAGCGGCCCGAGCACATGAAGTGTGTGAAAGGCTGGATCACAGGAAAGGAGGAAGGCGGGGCTGACAAGGGGTGCTGAGGCTGGCTGGGGCCCTCCATCACTTCCTGCCCTGAACGGACGGCTCCTGCACAGGGTTTTTTTGGGGACTGCTGAGCTGTGGGCAGCACAAACCTGCTCTGTTCACATGTTGGGCTAGGGGAGGGAGGAGGGAGATTGTGCTGGCATGCCCCGGGCAGGGCGGACAGATACAAACAGGGATGGAGTTTATTTGGAGTGAGATGGAGGGAGAGAGGCAGAGAGAGACAGAGAGAGAACGATAAAGCAAAGGGAGAGAGATGCTTACAATTGATGCACCTGGGTAAAGCCTTACAGATATTCCTTATACCGTTCTTGTAATTTCTGTTTGGTTTGGGATTGTATCAGAATAAATAATTACAAACAAAACCCACAGCCGCTGGGTCTGGAGGGAAGAGCAGGTGAAGCACCAGCCAGATATCTTACCCTGCTCCTGCCTTTCCTTAGCTGTGAGACCCTGGCTAGGCCCTTCCTGCCCTGGTCCTCAGTTTCCCCCCTGGGTCTTCCTTCAGCCCCTCAATCTGCTCAAGGTGGCCTCAGGGCTTTTGCACCAGCATGCTTTCTCTGCTTGGAATGCTCCACCCTTTCCCCTAGGTTCTTTCCCCTTGTTCATCCGTCTTCACCCTTCACAACTCAGGGTCAGCGCCTTCCCCAACCTCCCCAACCAGATCAGACTGCACCCGGGCACTCTCTGAGCCTGGAGAACCCAGCTGTAATGTCACATTGGGTTATGACGTTACAAGGGGATGGCCCATCTCTGCCCCAGGCAGTGAACGCCCCATTAGGGCATCGGTCTTGTTCTCCACGGGTCCCTAGAGTCTTACCCAAGGCCTGGCACACAGTTGCTGCATGTCATCAGAATGAATGAACAGAGAAATGAGACCATGAGCTGGGCAATCACCAGGCTGCCCTCTGGCTCTGTAGGAACCTGAAGAAGGACCGGAGGTGAAGGAGGACACGGGAAAGAGGGGCTATGGGCACAGGGCAAGCACTCTGATACCCTGGGGGAGCTGGAAGACACCCCCCTGGGAAGGGCTCACAGAGCCAGAAGGAGGAGGATTGCAGGCTGCCTGGCGCCAACAGAGGCACCCCTATTGAGTCGCAGCTGGACACGGCATCAAGGGGCTGCACTCATTTCTTCCAGAACGAGGAAGACAGAAGCCTTGGCAGAGGCACGGCTCACCACGAAGGCAGTACAGCGAGGCCAGTATCCTGCAAACTCTGAACTACTGCAAAGGTGGAGGAGCCCGGGGCAGCTGGGAAAAATGCACTTGAAACTGGCATTTGCCACTGTGGTCAGCCCAGCCTTGGGAGAGGGAATATCTTTCCAAATATGGGGTGGGTGGACTGCAAAAAAGGACCTGGAGTGAACAAGATACAAGCCGGTAGGAATAATACTGAGGGTGACAATTTATTTGGGCAGATTTCATAATTATATGGCCTCAGTCTCCACTGCCTTACCCTGCATGCCTCACTGAATTCTCATGACAACTGCTTGAGTGAGGGATTATTGTCCTTATTTTACAGATAGGGAAACTGAGGCACGGAGCTGCTGGAAGAGTTGCCCAAGGTGGCCGAGCAAGCCTTTTGGGGAACTGGGACCTGAACCCATGACAGTCTGATCCGAAAGCTTGGTGCCCTTGTGATTCTGCCGTGCTGCTCAAAATAAAATCAGAGCAAGCAAGGTGAGGTCTGTGCTGTCATAAGACAATTGTTTTAAAACGTCCAGGATGGGCTGGGCTCTGCCGCCTGGAGAGGCAGGGATGAATCGAAAGGTTTTTGGAAGCCCAGACCCAGGAATGTTTTGGTCTCAGTCATCAGAGGCCGGAGTTGGTGGGACTGGGTGGTAAATGAAGCTAAGCCTGGCCAGAGACCCCTCCGTAGCCTGCGGGTCTAGCCCTGAAAGGAACCCACGGAGATCACCCATTTAGCAAAGGAGGAAACAGTCTTCCCACACCAGGAGCAAGCAACAGCCCTCAGAGCCAGTTCGCGCCCCTTCCAGAGCTTCTCAACTGCATCAGGACTTCATGCTCAAAATCGATCCTTAATTTGTTCAGACTGCCAAGTCTGGGCGCCACGAGACTCCTCTCTAAATATTCAGGCATCAGCCCTCCTTATACTGAGATGAAGAGAAAGACTTCTAAGGAGAGAATGTGGAAAGGAGATCAAATTCCGAGGGGAAAGGACAGGAGGTCGGCACTGACGAGGTGGCCGTCTGTTTTCCCAAATACTTGCATTCCGTGAAGATGAACTCGGCAGTCAAGGGTGCCCAGCAGACAAGAGACTCCCGGCTGTTCTGAGAAGGGGCGCCTATCACTTTCAGAGCCCCAAGTACATGCATGAAGTGGAGAGACTGAGCGTGCCTAGATCTGGGAGAGGGCTGAAGTTCCCCAAAGAGGGGTGACACCCTCATCACAGCACCTTCAACGCGGACACGACAGGCAGCTCGAGACCTCGCACATCAGCCCAACTTGCTTTTGAGGGGGACCAGTCATAGAAAGCATGGATCAGATCCTTTGAGTCCACACATTCTGTATCAGACTCAAACCCGATTCCTTTTCCTGCTTACTCAGCAGCCTAGTTCTGTCCCCGGCACCCTCCCCAACTGCGATTTCTGGCGCTGGAGGTCCTTTATGGATTCCCTTTTCCAGGATGCACATGCTCAGTCGCTTTGACTACTCCTTCCCAGATGTTATGTAACTAACTCTTGGGTATAATCTCCTGGGGGTACCCTCTTTGAAATTAAAGGAGGCGGGCGGTGAGCAGGTGTATCCAGCCAAGGAATTGGAAGAGGCTGTGCTGGCGATATTTGCTCTTATCCAACGCCTCGCCACCGGAGGAGAAAACAGGGAGAGAGAAGCCCTGGCGGCTCACACGTCTCAGCAGTGAATGCCCCCGACTTCCTTCCTACGTGATTTTTTTACTCCTACCAGGGACTGCTACCCACCTGCCCAGTATTTACGAGTGCTGTCTGTAGGCGAGGGTCTGTCCTCATGCCGGCAGACAGCAGGGACCAAATCAAAGGCCGCAGCTCTCGTGCGGTTCCATCTGGGGCGTGGTGCAGACTATACACAAGGTAAATACATAACGTATTTAGCTAGGGGACAGTCTGTTTCCATGCCTTTTCCAGTGTCCAGAGGCTGCCTGCATTCCTTGGCTCATGGCCTCTTCCTCCCATGATTCCAGTCTGTTGCTGCCAACCTCGCATCTCTTATGTGTGTAGGCAAATCTGCCTCTTCCTCCTCTTAAAGGACCTTTGGGATGATACTGAGGACCCAGCTGGACAATCCAGGATCATCTCCCCAGCTTAAGATCCTTCACTTAATCACGTTTGCAAATGCCTTCTGCCACGTGGGCACCCGAGCATTCTCAGGTTCCAAGGGTTAGGACGTGGTTATCTTCGGGGGCTGTTATTCAGGAAGGAAACAAGTCACAGACTGGGAGTGAGGGTAGAGAAGGGGCGAGGAGGGAAAGTGGGCGGCCTGTGGGCAATGACCTGGAGGAAGCGAGGGAGGCGTGGGTGTCTGGGGAAGAGTGTTCTGGGAAGAGGGAACAGTCAACCTGGAGTCTGAAAGTCAGAGGCAACCGGGCATGGTGGAGGAATAGGAAGGAAGCTGTAGAAGCTGGAGAGGCACCAAGGCGACAGAGCGCGAGAAGTGAGGCCAAAGAAGCGGGCGGAAGCCGAACCCTGATTTTTCTGTGAGATGGGCATTTGCCCCAGGGGTTTTAAGCAGGACTATGATACCGTCCCTCTGGCTACTGCAGGTAAAAATATGCTATCATCTGGATTCATGGGAACCCAGGTAAGAAGATGGTTATTAGCCCATGAGATGGTTTCAGAAGGAATGTTTGGAATTTTTAAGGTGGCATGGGAATGGGAGCTTAACCGGTGCTTTCTTAGGGGTGGGGGTGGGGAATCAATCATAAATAATTCAGCAAATATTCATTATGTGCCTGGCCTGGCTAGCTAGCAGTGTCTCCTGCACCTTGGAGAAATGTGGGGCACACTCCCTCTATGGCTGACACGGAGACTGGGGGAGATATACCGGGGAAGAGCTTCGTCCTGCCATTCTTCCTTCGCATCCACATTTTCCATCCGGAGCGTGGCTTCAGTGGTCCCCATGGGGTCTGGGAAGAGGCGCCGGCTTCAAGCAGGGACGGACCCTGAAGGAGAGCCACAGATGGGGTTTCACTGGATGATCACCGACCTGACACCCCTCCACCCACGTGCAGCACTTCAGATCAGTTGCAAAGAGCTCCTCACCCATTGTCTTATTGAACGCCATGAGGCTTCCCCATTTCACAGGTGAGAAAACAGGCACAAAGGGCTGAGGACACCTGTGTGGATTTAAGCCAGGTGAGAGACTGAGCCTCCAGTCCAAGCCACCCTTCCTCTGAAACTCTGAAATCCACCCTCCCCAGGGCACATCGTCCTTTCCTTCTTTTGCACTTCAACTGGGAAGTAATAGATCCAATTGAAGTCACTTATACTAAAGTGTTAATGACTGATATACTTAAGCATCCTTGCTGGGACTGATACTTTCAAGCATGACCTGGTTAACCCCAACACACCTCTATCTGCTCCAGGTTACCTGTCCTGCCACTTTGTCCCTCCACAAAGCAGCAAGTCCTGACAACCTGCTGCCCTAGGGCTAACAAAGGCAGTGCAGAAAGGCATTAGGTTTGGAAGTCAGGATCACCATTATTACCAACCACAATTTTGTTTTTATTGTTCTGAGAAGGTAGCTGGGGGCAAAGGTGGGGGGGGACAGCACTCTAGATTGTGGCTTAAGTGCTGGGCTGCCTGGGAGTAGAGTCACAGCTGCTGACTGAGACTGAATTTGGGTCTACCTTAGGGTATGGCCAACTCCCAGACCATTCACCTCCCCTGGCCTCAGTTTCTCTGTCTGTAAGTGCGAGATTTGGGTTAGAAATGATCTCTCTATGATACCTATAGGGCATAACATTCTAGGATCTGATAACTCAATCAGCACCACACACAGGTTCTGTGCTTTTAAACCTGTGGTTCTCAGCTGGGGACCTTATTGCCATCCCCTCTCCCCAGGAATGACACATGGCAATGTTTGGGGACATTTTTGGTTGTCACCAGTGGGTTGGGGGCTGCTCCCAGCATCAAGTGGGTGGAGGCCAGGGATGTTTCCCAATGCCCCTCAGTGCATAGGACAGCCCTTCATGACCAAGAATGATCCGGCCTCAAAAGTTCATAGATCTGAGACTGAGAAATGTTGTCTTAATCACATGTTTGTGAAAGGACTTCAGGCACAGGCTTGGTGGTCAGGATAGAGTGCCTACTGGGCCATCCCACGGCACCTCGTTCTCCAGGCAGCTTCTCCTATCCTCACTCGCCAGCACCCGGCCTCCAGCCCCTCACCCTTCCTGACGCTGCCGCCACCCCTCTGTAGAGCTGGCGCACGGCCAACAGTTTGGGGGTGTCATCCAAAGTCCCACACTGGACCACCTCCCCCTGTACATGGTGGGTCTGCATTTGGGATTGTGGCTCAGAGAGGGAGGGCCCAGAGGGAGTCTGGGCCAGGTGAGGGCCAGGCAGGGTGGAAGGGGTGGCTGAAATTAGACACCACCCCCACTTCCGTGAGGATTTCTCCCTGGCTTCTTGCCATTCTCCTGAATGCCGTCATTCATTCATGGAGGAGGGACACAATATGCAGTAGCTTAAAAAAAAAAAAAGATCTCTTGCTGTCATGGGCGACAACCACCCAGCACCTTGCTGCAAATGGCAGTTTGCGTCAAAGGAAATTCATTTTCCTTTCTGCAGGGAGTGGTCTCTGCGTCTGTTTTCCTTATTAGGCTGGGTGTGACCCCAGCCCTCGGGAGGGACCCCGCCCCCACCCCCACCCCCACCAGCCAAATCTGAAGCCACGCGTGTGGCCCCAAATACTGTAACGTGGGGTGTGGATGGGTCCCGGGGGGGCCCTGCACACTCCCACTCTTCCATCCTGACTTCACATCTGAGGATGGCGCATGCCGCTGAGAAGCGCCCCTGGGCGCTGTGGAGCTGAATTATCAGCAAATCACACCAAGTTCAGATAGAAAAGGAATCTCTATCTTCAACCCTCTCGCTTCCTCCCCACCCCATAGACAAGCCTCTCCGTACCCATCTACCAAGTCTTTTTTTTTTCAAATCCGCTCACGGTGTTATAAATAGGAAAAGCACCGAGATGGGACGCATACAGGTCGGTCTCTCAGGAAGCATCCCAGAGAGAGGCTGAGGGTTTTATTCCGCCTTATCTCTACGCACGTCCTGAAACTGGTGCAGTCCTCTGCCTTCCAGGTGGACGGTGGGCATGGAAGGGGAGCCGTGGTGTGTGCGCCTGTGCAGTGTTTTCCTCCGCTTGGGGAAAAATGGGTGCCACCCATCCCAAGACTCACAGGACCCTGTTTCTCTGCTCCCACCCGCCCCGCTGCCAGAAGGAGCGTGGCAGCCGCAGATGCCTCCGGACAAACCTTCCTGGGCAGGGCCGGGGGAGGGGGGAAAGGAAGGTGAACTCACCTCCGCGGCCGCTGGGTTCTCCGCGGCCTCCCCGAGTTACGCGCAAACAAAGGCGGGCCCCGCGCGGTTGCAGCCGGGCATCCCTCGCCTTCAGAGCGCGCAGTCCCGGGGCCTTGAGAGCATCGGAGCAAGATGCACGCAGCGGCGGGCTCTGCATCCAGGGAAGGTCACCCAGAGCCACGCGGCCGTTTGTCCAGCGGCGGGGGGGGCGGTTCGCAGTTAGCGGTCAGTCCCCCCTTGCTCCGCCGCGGCGGTGCCCCCTGTCATCGTCGGTTTCCGGGCCTTCGAGGTATTTTCTCCTTCCCAGCTCGCTGCTGGAAGAGGCTCGGCTTCCTTAACACCGTTAATTATGCTGCTTTTGTGTGTGCAGGGTGGGTGGGGGCAGGGCTGACCAAAAAGCACAGCCCCCTGCCAGAAACCCGTGCTCCTCATTGGCTGAAAGGGGAGCATTTCACCGAGCCTCACCAGGGGCAGAAGCGGAAATGATTTCCTGATGGCGCATCGCGGATTGAAAACAAAACAAGAAACAAGCAAATAAATAAATGGCCGGCGATGCCCTCATTCCTTGGATTCTGTGGAAGGGAGGGGAAAATATCCTCTGAACCCTCAGCCAGTTATTCACTATGATTGCGCCGCGTGCCAAGGACCGGGCTTGGGGCACAAGGGGGTGTTGAGGAGGTAGAATCTTCTGAGACACCCTTGCTCGGGGCCACCAAGGGAAAGGCGCTTCCTGCAGTTGGGCGCTGCGGTGGCCCTGTCCTGGAGAACTTCAGGAAGACAGTGGAGTGGTAGGAAGTAAAGAGGACAGCCTCTGAAATCAGACCAGAAGTGGGTTTGAACCCTGGCTGGGCCACTCACTAGCTGGGGACCCTGTGGGGACCACTGGGCCTCAGTTTCTTCATTTGTAAAATGGAAGCATTACGGTACTGACATTTCGGCGTTTGATAAGAAAATGCACAGAAAAGCGCGCAGTGCTGGAGCCTGAGAAAGGTTCTGTTCATTCTTGCTGGTTGCTGGTTTTATTTTTAGAACTACAGCAAGTTGAACGGTGGCCCTCCCCAAAAGATATGTCCGTGTCCTAACCCCTCGACCTGGTGAATGACACCTTATTTGGAAAAAGGTCTTTGCAGAAGGAATTAAGGATCTTGAGATAAAAGCATCTGTATTTAGGGGAATCCTAAATCCAGTGACAAGTGTTGTATAAGAGGAAAGGAGGGGAGAAGACATATGGGGAGGGAAGGCCACGTGTCAACAGAGGCAGAGATCGGGGTGATGTATCTACAAGCCAAGAAGCATTAAGGATGCTGGTAACCACCAGAAGCTGTAGAGAGAGAGAGAGAGAGAGAGAGAGATGGGGTGGGGCATGGAATGTTTACCCCTTCGCAGCTTCCAGAAGGAACCATCCCAGTTAATACCTTGATTTTGGACTTCTGCCCTCCAGAACTATGAGAAAATAAATTTCTACTTTTTTGATCCACCTAGTTCATGAATTTCGTTGCAGCAGCCACAGGAAACTCATAGGTGACCCCAAAGTAGGACTTGATGCCTGTTTTTCTCTCCTGCCCCTCTTAAGCACTGGTGGTAGCCCTCACCGTGATATGAAATAATTTCTTTGTTTCCCTGTTTATGCTCTGGTCCCCTTACTAGAATACAAATCTCCAGAGGAAAGAGACCTGGCTGGTCGTGTGCCTGGCAGTATTTTCTGCAGAAGGCAGCGCTATGCTTACTTTGACTGCCACAACCGGCCTTACGTGGCACAGAGGAGACATGCGGGAAATGCAGGTAGGATGTGTGGATGCTGGACCCCTTCACTGCACATCAGACGACACTTCACTCACATCACTGACTCACTCACTGCCGTCCGGGTCTGTGCCCCTCCCACCCCCTCAAGCCCAAGGGACGAAGGCAGCGGGCCCAGAGTCTCTTTTAGCAAAGATTTAGGACTCTGCATCTGCTGCCTGGAGGTACTGGAGCTCTGAGAAGAGGCACTTGTGTTCATTGAGCAGGAAATCCAGGCCTGTCCCAGTGCTGGGCACTGGCGTCCAAAATGAATAAGGCTTGGGTTTGGTAGAACTGCCGTTCTTAGAAACAGATAGGCAGAGAGCCTGGGCTGATTTAGGGACATCTCTGGAGCAGAGTGGCTTGGTGGCGGAGAGGGGTGGGGGGAGGGGTGGGCGCGCACGGGAAGATTCTCCAGGGTCGGGTGGGAGAGGTGACAATGCGAGTTGGGCCCTGAAGAGTCAGTAGGAGTTGGTTGGATAAAGAAGCGGAAAGGAAGGCGCTCTGGACAAAGGGGCGTTTAAAGACTGCAAAGCAGCAGCCCTTCCCCTATGAGAGCGCTCAGGGAGCTGTCCGTGGTGCTGAGGCCCTGGCGAGGGACTGGCTCTTGTCTGGTTTATTTTAAATTGTGGTTAAAAATATACATACGTAACAGAAAATTTACCATTCTAATCACTTTAAGTGTACATCTCAGCGGTCATATTGTTGTGCAACCATCGCCACCGGCCATCTCCAGAACTTTCCATGTTCCCAAACTAGAATGCTGCTATCCTCATGAAGCACTACTGCCCCCGCCCCACCGGCACCCCAGTCCCCTAACACAAGCTTCTTGAGATCAGAGATGTTGCATTTTGTCGTTGCTGTATTTCTAATTCCAGACCAGTGGTTCTTACTGGGGGGGGATTCTGCCCCTCCCCCAGGGGGCATTTGGTGGTGACGTCTGGGGACATTTTGGTTATTGTGACTTGGGGGATAGGGGTGACATTGGCATGGAGTGGGTAGAGATCAGAGATAGTCAACACCCTACCATGCACAAGACAGCCTCCCGCGACAGAGAATTATCCAGCCCCAAATATCAGTGGTGTGGGGGTTGAGAAACCTTAGAACACCTGAGACAGTTATCACTAAAATTAGTTTAGGCAATAAAATTGCTCACCCTCTTTGAGTCTCATTTTCCTGATTTGCAAAGGGTAGTAATGCAAACACCAATACGTTGCATTCTCATTATGTGTTGTTTCTGGATTTGTGAATTTGCCTAGTGGCTGAAATTTATTGTGTGATACCATTGACCCTAAAATCAAAACTCATGGTGCTTTCAGGGTTGTTTGCAGATAACACAGAGCCGTGAACAATTTGAGGGTTGGCCATTGCATGTTCCCAGCTGAGGCTGAACAAGGCATTGCTCTATCTTCTTATTCCAGCCCAGACTGTAAATAACTGCTTTTTTAGGGGGGTTTATTTAACGCCCTGTTGTTTGCCTGTTTGTGCTTTATGTTGGTGGTTTTGTTGTTTATAGGGGCTCCCAGGCATGGTGCTGTAGTGCTGTCTAGTGTTTCTGAGCCCAAGGAGTTTGTGATGTGCCTTATGGAGAAAATACATGTATTAGATGAGCTTCGTTCAGGCATTAGTTACAGTGCCATTGGCTGTGGGTCCAGTGTCAATGAATGGACAGTGTATATTAAATAGGGCATCTTTAAACAGAAGTGCACTTAACCCAAGGTTATATGTATTGATCAGTTGATGAAGATACTGTGACCGGAGCTTTGCAGGAACCTAACCCTGTATTTCCCCTAGGAGCAGTGGTTCACTATTCACTATTTCAGTGTCTTGTGTTGACTTCCCAGAACAGAACTGCTGCCAATAGCAAAAATTGACTGTATCTACTTTCAAGGGCTATTGTGAAGACTGGATACAACTGTGCATGTAGAGCATGTGGCACAATGCTTGTAGAAACTAACAAGGGGAAAGACAGTATGTAATCCAGAGAAAACATTACAACAGACCTGTTTATGTGTAAAGCATGCACCTTCCTTATCTAGTTATACCTGCAGGGAGTTGAAGGGAGGCCATGTGTAATTACTACACTAGACTTTAGCCACGACGTGATGGGAGAGCTGCATTTGCCAGACCCACTAGATTCTTCCCTGTGGCCACACATGGACATGAAGATGCAGATGGATGAAGGCCATCCATTAAATCATCCATATGGCTCTTCTTGGCATCCCGGGCTTGCCATGATTTCTGTCCAAGATTTAACTAATCCTGTGCCTGCTTAAAGGGGCAAAGAAACCCCCCCACTATGGGTGGTAAATGTTCCTTTTTTTTTACCTTCTTTAAAATTAATTTAAAACTTGAAATAATTGCAGATTCACATTTGGTTGTAAGAAATAAATCCTCTATGTCCTTACCTCCAGGTCCTTAAGCCCCAGAAAACATAAATACATGTTATCCATTTCTATAATTTTGGCTTTTCAATAATTTTATGTAAATGGAGTCACAAGAGTATATAACCTTTTGGCAATGGCTTTTTCCACTCAGCATAATTCTCTAGCACTTCATCCAAGTTGTAGGTATTGAGTTTATTCTTTTTTATTGCTGAATAGGATTCCATTGATGTGAAATGCCCAAAACAGACCAATCCATATAGATAGATAATTAGTGCCAGGGGCTGAGGTGGGGTGGGGGCTGAGAAGTGACCATTAATGGACACAAGATTTCTTCTTGGGGTGATAAGAATATGCTGGAATTAGGTAGTGGTGATGGTTGCACAACTCTATGAATATACTAAAACCATTTATTTGTACATGTTAAATGGATGAATTGTATACTATGTGAATATCTTAAGCTGTTATTAACCAAAAAAGTAACTTCATTGTAATCAACAGTTTGGTTATGAACTGCTTCCCTGATTCCAAGTTTCCAAGGACTGGTATCATGTCAGGGCTGTTCAGTGCTGCGGCCTCCAAGATGGCCTGGCTTGTAGTGAGTTGTGTGTGTGTATGTGTCAAGAAGAATCTTCAAAATGAATTACACTTAGAGTAGGGTCTCTCCCCTTCAGCACTGCCGACATTTGGGGTTGGGTTATTCTCTGGGGGGCGGTCCTGGGCACGTGAGCAGCCTCCCCAGCCTCGACTCACTCAATGCCAGGAGCTCCCCCAGTCGTGACAACCACATATGCTCCCAGACACAGCCCAGTGTCCCATGGGGGCAGATCACTCCAGTTGAGAACCACTAATTTAGAGACACTGAACTTCCGGTACTGAGTGGGCCCTTAAAAGGCCCCACGAAAAGGCTGGCACCTAGGAGGGTTGTCAAAGGGACAAGCAGAACTTGGCTGTGCCAAGAGGGCCACATCCCCACAGGGAGAGTGGTCATCAGCAGGCCTCTCAAACCCACCCAAGTGGACAGAAAGTAAAACAACCTCCAGGCTCGCGACCAGAGCCGGGAATGGGACGCAGAGGTAGAGTCGCGAAAGAGACTCTCCGCTCCAGCTGAGCTTTTAGAGAAGGCGAGACTCCGGGCCGGGGCAGGGCTTGCGGGGAGGGGCGTGGCATGAGCCAAAGACGCCGGATACAGAGAGGTCGCCGACAGGGAGCTTTGCGTAAGGGAGGGGGCTTGCGTAAGGGGCGGGGCTTGAGCAGAAACTCCTCGCATCTGAGGGGTTAAACCCAAGGCGGGGCTTTAGGAGCCCAGGTCTAGGCGCTGGGCGGGTTCGAGGCGGAGACCCCGGATGCCGAGCCCTCGGAGGCAAAGAGGGCCTCTGGGAAAGGAGCCGCGCTTGCGGCGGGGGCGGGGCTTGGAGGTACAGACGCCCCTCTTCCAACTTGCACCGTGGAGCGTGAAGCCAGAAGGCGCGAGCTTCGCGCGGGGGGCGGGGCCTGGGGCGCGTGGCTGGACGAGAGCGGTGCATGCCCCGGTGACGTCACGCCCCAGGCTCCGCCCATTCGCGTCTCCGGCTCGACTGGCGCTGTGTGGAGACGCCAACATGGCGGTGAGTCACTGTTGCGGTTTCGCCTAGAGCGCCTGTCCGCAGTACGGGTAACGGCCCCGCGTCGCCCTGCCCGACCCGTCCTGGGGGAGCCGTGTTGCGCGGAGCCGCGGGTCGGCCTCTCGGTCCGACCCGAGCGGGGCGCACGCTGGGAGGCCTGCTCAGGCCAAAATGGCCGCGGCCCCGAGTTATCGTTGAGGGGGAGGGCGGAGGGGCTCCTGCTGTGGGAGGGGGCCTGGGCCTTTCGCGGGGACGAATACTGAGCCGTGCCGAGCAGCGGATCCGTACCTGAGCGGGTTGCCGAGGTATGACGCGGGGAGCGGGCCCCGGCACCTGAGGTGCTCGAGAGCAGACGGGCCTGGGGATGGCCTGGCGGGCGGGGGTGGGGCAGGGGCCTGGCGGGGCGGGGGGAGGGGCGTGCGCGTGGGGACCTGGCGCCTGACCCTAAGGGGACCTGGCCACGCCTGGGGGCGTGGAGTCTGGAGGTACTGATACCTGGCGGGGTCCGTGAGAACGCGGAGACCTTGGGGAGGGGAATTGAGGTCTGACTCGGGGGAGACTTGGGGCGGGTGGATGACTTGACCTTGGCGAAGTCCTGAGCCCCCGTAGGAGGGTGGGCGCCTTGGGGCTACCAGAGGAGGAGTGGGTAGAAGCACCTGGGACCTTGAAACTCTGTGGAGTAAGGAGTTTGGATATTTGAGAGCAAGTAAAAAGAGGTTGTGGGCATCAGGAGTGCTAATGTTCCTTGCGCTTGTGGTGGGTTCTCAGGTGTGGTTGGCCGGTAAAGGACTTTCTATCAGGAAAAGACTGTGTGGCCTGCTGTTTTCTGGAACAGGGTGTCAGATTTTCGTTTTTATGCTCCTTTATTTCCATCATCCTTGGTGTTCCCATCTGCAGTGCTTACAGTAGCAGGACTCTTCTGCTCAGCTAGGTTGTCAGAGGTCCTGAACGTCTGGAAAAGCCCCCCTGCTCTCTTACTAGCCCTTCTTTCTTCTCTCTCCTCGTTCTGTTTTTCCAGTGCATTCTTCAACCAGGTGTGGAAAAACCGCTTGCATGTTATATTTTCTATTAAGATTACCTTCTAGAAGAGACATTGAGCATTTACAATGTAAAAAACGTAATTGCTGGACTTCAGTCGCTGTTTCTGTTATTTACTTGAGTTAGTGTACTTAAGTCATTTTAGTGCAAATATTGTGTGTATTTTGATGACTTAAGTGACACAGTATACAGTAACAGGATGTTGAATTAGTCTGTGTCTTTAGATTTGTCCCCTGGATTGTGTGTTTTGTTCCTTGAGAAAAAGGTAAACTGAACTAAAACATGGGAACCATAGCAAAATAAATTTCAGTTTCACAAAACCTTGATATGGGATAATCTGCTTTATTTGAATGACTTTAAGTTAACCAGACATTCTCTTTGCGGGGAAATGACTTTTGCTTGGAACCTTCAGCTGCTTTTAAAGTATATATTTCTTATATAATGTGCCATGGAAAAACTGATTAGATTACATTTTGTGAATACCAACTTTATGGTACCATTTTCACAACAGTATTTACAAAGCCCATTTCATGAATTGCTAAAGCAAAGACAGCAGTTTATTTCTCAGAGGAATTTTGTTTTCTTGGCTTTTAAATTTGATAACCATAGCCTAGATAGACGTATTCCTTATATTTTATTGTTACCATAAACAGGGGTGGAATCGGAACTGCTTTTAATTGTTGGTCAGTAAGAATTGTATACCCATTCACTCTTGAAGGCATAAGAAAAATTTGCAATTATTGAAAATGATAGCTTTATTTTATGTAGTTTTTTAAATTTTATAAAGCTTTTTTATAGTTCTGTAAGCATTCAGAATTAAGTATTAATCACATGTATAAAATAGAATTCAACAGTGTTTTTAATTAACACTGAGTACAGTTTTCAATTGTGAGGCTGAGAGCAACTCAGGAAATCCAGCAAGGTTCTGTATGAATTTAAATCACATTGGTAATAAAAACATTGAGAGCGTATAGCTGTGTGTTGGGAGGTCCCTGGTAGAGGAACTTGACAGGCTGGCCCTATCTACTGTTACATTTTTCTCTTTGTTTAGCGGTTTTGTCAAAGTTCCACCTGTGTAGCATAACTGGCTAGCTCTGCCCATGCGTTCTTGTTAAATCTAAGTAAGGCAGCTGCTGGATTTTGGTGTAATACTTGATTTACCATCAGGAGAAGCTATATTTTAATATGTTCTTGACACATAATAGGCTGAATTTTTTCATCTGGAAAATGTTAGGAGTTGGAAGCCAGCTGGAACCCCAGCAAACTCTGTTAGTGGCAGGTAATAAAAATTGAATCCAATTTCCTGTATTGTATAAGTCCCAGACACCTGATATGTCATCGAGTCCTCGTAGTACTCCTTCGAGGTATGTATTATGATGCTCATTTTGTTGATGAGGAAAATGGGGCTCAGTACAGTATATGGTGTAGGGGCCCCAGTGTGGTAAGTGGTGGGGATCCAAGTAGGAATGTGGGAGGCGTGGCTCCCAGACCTTGCCTGTGCCCTGAGGTAGGATGGGCCTGAGCCTAGGTTGGTGCTTGTGGTGGCAAAATCTAGCCTGCACACAAATGCTTAGTGGTGGGGCCTGCTGGTGGAGGCTGGGTTACTGCCATACTTTACAGTGTCCCCTGGATCCTGCCCCTGTAGTTTGGATGCCAGTTTGGATTGTGAATTAGGGCCACGTTCTTCAGACTTTGGAAAACTACCCTCCCCAGAATGGGGAAGCCAAGGAAGTATCTGGCCTGGTGTCATTAGGGTGGTAATGATAACACAGCCCCACCTCTGGAAGATCTCCCAGAGGCTGCAGTCGCTTGGGAAAGGTACTGGAGCACAGGCAGCCCCTCGTGCTGCAGCAGGTCACCTGTTAACATCCCTGATTGCAAGTCCCTGCTTGGTCAGGTCTGGCTGCAACCAGGTTTACAGTGGTCCTGGTCATACCCAGGCCAGCCCCACCCGCAGGTCTCTAGACCCTTCCAGAGTGAACCTTACCCACCAGGGCCTGTCCATCCCCCGAGCTTAGGTCCAAGCAGCACAGACTGGCAAGGAGAGTCTGATGTCACTGCCTCAGTTGGGGAGGGCTGGGGTGCACTCAGACTTCTACCTCTATACCCCAAACAGTGTTGTGTCAGACATCCAGGAGAGTGGGGCTTGTGGGAACCTCTTGCTGAGTTTGAAGCAGTCCTGACAGGTGACTGCACCTAAGCAACACCTCCCATTTATTTCCAGATGGGAATGACTGGAAGTTGACCCGGGAATGGCAAGGCTAGAATGTGGTTGCTGTGCCTCCGTAAGGCTCAGGCACAGGTTAGGGACCTCCTGAAAGTAGCTCTTGGGAGGTAGTTTTAAGTGGCAACTCTGAACTGCAAACAAGTATATTTTAAGGAAAACCTTTCAATGATAGTAGATACCTTAGTTCCTATCACTATTGAAATATGGATTTTTAATTTTCATTTTATCCATTTTAGAACCAAAAATTAACTCATCAACATCAGAGCCTAAGTAAATTGCTGTTTTTTTTCTACACATGCATCTGTTTCTGATTTTTTAATAGTTTTATATATAATTTTTAATAGTTTTAATAGTTCTTTTTTCTGGCATTCAGACAGCCTATTCATCTACCAATGTGTATATCTGAATTATCAGAACAAATACATCAAAATTAAAAGCGTTTTCCAATCTCATTTAAAATTATTTTTTCACATGAATATAATTGGTGTTCCTTTGTGTGCTTACAGAGGTAAGGGGACAAAGTTGGTTGATCTGGATAAGTAACTGAGTAGTCTTGGAAAAATAAGAAAAACCTGTAGAAAGGGTATTAGTGACTTTGTGTTCATTCTCTTTTTATTCTATATTAGTGAATTGAAAGTTTGTGCAACTTTACATCAGGGATTGCAGATGCTCTTTTAAGGGCCAGACATGCACATGAATAAATTGAATCTAAGATGGTAGAGTGGGGTGGGGGGCGTCAAGATAGAGTCTGCACCCCAACACACCCCAACCTGTCATCTATCATGTGGGACTGAACCCCGTAAGGCGAGTCTTCCTGGTTTCCCAGACGACCCACAGTTGCTTCTCTGTGTGAAAGCCTCCAAGTTGGGAATACCAGCACCAAATTCAGACTGTTTGGGACAAATGACAGCTGCCTCCACTGTATGACCTCTCCTTCATGTTTTTGAAGCTTTAATCACAAAACGATAATGTAGAAGATGTTATAGATGTTTGGTATTTAAAAGGAAGAGTATGTATCCCAGCTAGTTGGAGGAGCCCCCCATTTGGACTGGTTTAGTCAGTTAAGGTTCTGTGTTTTTTTGTTTTTTGTTTTTTTAAGTTCATGTTAAGAAGTTAGTACTAGTGTTTATTTTATTTGTGACTCTTGAGTTCTGATAGCTTATTCATTCAAGCCATATATTGAGCTCTAATTCAGAACAAGTAAGCAGCTTTGACAAAGCACAGAGATTTTTTGTCTATTTGATTTGTTTTTTTTGCATGTCTCTATGTCTGTGATGCCTTAAATCTGAAGTGTGCTGTTTACTCATGGAACAGTCTTTCGAGTCTTGGTGGAAAAAGGTTTTGGCTCAGTTGGTAATCGTTCCCTTGTTCTGTCCCTTAAACCAAGGTGTTCACCACCAGCTGCTCTTTTCTGTTATTGTGTGTGCTATGTGATTATTTTAATTGAGGTTGCCAGATGTATTTTGGCTAGAAACTTCGTTTGTAAGTATGTTGGGGAACAGGGCTTCTGTTAGAGTAGATGCTTTGCTTTCGGCATTTTTTGTTTTTCTCCAAATTTGCATCTGTGGTAGGTACATCACTGTCTTTGCCTCTTTTAAATTAATGGCCTCCAAGTCACCTATTTGTCACTGTGGATTAGGAATGGAAAATTTCTTCGCTTTGGTTTGTAACATTTTGTATTTTGGAACGTTAGTTCTGTCCGCTGAGGTTGACTCTTTGATGGATTTTGCTCTCCCTG